TAAGAATATAAAAAAAAAAAAAAAAATATATATATATATATATATATATATATATTAAAACACTCCTGCAAGTACAATGAGACAATAGTAACTTTCAAGATGAGGCTTCTTACCTGCAAAAGGATCCCATCTGACCAGGCAAACTTCATTCCATCATCACTCTCAACAGGCAAGTCCGACCCCAACAAGTCCATTATATCAGTCTACGCATAAGCATCACAAATGGAATTAGTTACAGAGGGAGGGAGAGGCCAAAGCAGAATAAATATTAGAAAATAAATAAGTAAGACAAGACCAAGAGAAAGTTGAAGATCAGAGACCTGCTCAGACAAGTTTATTCGTACAACTCTGTGCTGAAAATATTCGCCCAAGGCAACAATTAAGCTTGTCTTCCCAACACCTGGGCTGCCTTCCAGGAGAACTGGAATGCATATAAGATTGTTGATTATGAAACTTTTTAGATCATGCACCAAAACGTAAACAAAAAGAAAGCACTACCAAAAAATGAATGCATACCGGGCTTAGGGAGCTGCATAGCACGGAGGACACGCTGTGCGTTTCTGTGGGTAGTTGGCGCTAAAAACTTGAAATGCAAGGATTTTTGAACATCGGCAGATGGAGACAATGGACCTATTTGACAAAGTGAAATGTTCAGCTTCATTGTCGGGATCAACTATATAAAGTCTTCAAGGATTCTTCCTTTCCTTTGATTGTTTTAAATTGGAAGAATCTGATGGGGTTGCTAACTTCTAGGGTCTCTTAACTCGCTCTTTTAGTTTTGTTTATGCTTTTTAGCTTTACTGTTTTACTTTCTTTTGGAGGACCTTTCCTTTGTAATTGATTTTATTATCAACAAAAGGAAATTTCTTATAAGAAAAAACCAAAAGGAACAAAAATAAAATAAAAATAAAAATAAAAAAAGAAGAGAGAGAGAGAGCCCTAGTTATAGTACTTATGCCAGAGAATAGACCATGTCTGAGAGCAACGTCTAAAACTTGACGTTCCAATTGCTGATGAGAGTGATTATTCTAAAAGAAATAGCAAGACAAAAACACACGATGCATGAAACTACCTTTTTGAATGTCGAAAGGATAAAACATATTGCCACACTGCACTTCATCACCACTTGAAACATCTTCAGTTGTATCAAAATCGGGCCAACCATAATTTTGCAACCTTGAAAGTTTTGAAGACACCGCATTTGCATCATCCACCTTTATTAGCAGAGCATGGAAATCAGACATAATCAAATCCCAGTCATTTCATAATCAAATCCATTACACAATCACAGTCTCAAAATAAAGTAGATGAAGCCACTACATAATCAAATCCCAACCCCTGAACAGATAAGAAAAGAAGAAATCAGCAAAGTCCTTAGATTGAAAAACCCACAAAGCCACCTAATATTTAACTGTTTCTCAAATATCACCAATCCCCAATATCTTCTACAACTTTCTTGCTCTCCCATCATTACAACTACTCAAATCTCCCACAATGACTCTTTAAGGAGAAATTGAGAATTATTTGGGGGGAAAACAAATAAACAAAAGAAAATTTTACTAGGAAAAAAAAAAACAGAACCAAAAACAAAATTTGCATTATTTACGATTAGAAATTTCCATGAAAAAGTGAAAGTAAAACACACATCCTCGCTACTAACAGCTAACTGTTGCAAACCCCAACAAGAACAGAACACTTGACTGGAGCATTCATTTTAGGCGGACAAAAAGTGGAAGAAAGAGATAACACATTTAAAGATAAATCGAAATGTAGAGAAACCTTCATTTTCTCCAAAATGAAAGACAAGCATCGCTTCCTCAGTTCCCCAGCCTCAGTTTTAGATATACCAGTCCCTGATAAGAAAAGGTAAAGCTATTAAGTGACTCCCCAGTTCCAGCCTAAAAAGATTTAGCCTGTAAAAGATGTAAAGTTCAATATAAAGGTGCAATTTTCTTTAACCCAGGGGGGAGGGAAGGAAAAAAAAAACAGAGAGAGAGCAACTTTTACCCCGACATAAGATTAAATGAACAGTAAGGCATATCTACTAAATTCAATTTTGAAATTAGAATAAAAGTAAAGACGATAAATACTAAACAAAAACCACCATCACATCTATCTATGATCTAAGAGATCAACTGATACGTTCCAAATCCTTCCAGTCAACAGATAAGTTAGTTATTCATTGCTAGACTTTATAGCTTAGTGCAAACAAAGTCCGAATTAAGGATAAAATAAATAAAGTAATCTTTAAAACATTAAATCGCCAATGATAATTAATTGTCGCTTAAAAATTACGTAAATCCAACCAAAAAAAAAGTGTGCGCCAATGTCTTCACACGCTGAATCCAAAAGTTCACATAAATTCACAAGAAAATAGTAACAAACAATTTGTCATCCAGATAAAAGAAAGTGGTAAAAAGTAGAACGAATGAGACAAAGCTAAACTAAGACGCACCTAAACTTAATCCATCCAGCAAAACAAGAAACAGCCCGTGAAGACAAGCATACTTGACTCCTAGTTTTCCTTCTGTAACATTCACGAAATCAACCCATGAAAGCAGATCTCTGACAGTGAGAACTTTTCCTGTCTGTAAATGGCTGAACCACTGTAAAACAACAAATAAGAAACATGAGCTCAGCAAACCCATAAATAAGATCATTATAGATTTAAATATCAACCAAATTAGTATATTGGAAATTTGGAATGTAGAAGCAAAGAAAAGTCCGCAGATATAAATATCAACCAACAATAATCTATCAGGTGATCTATTTAAACAAACGTTCATAGCTTCATAGCTTAAAAAGAAAAATGGAAATTGAAGAGGAAAATAGCCCAAAAAAATACATGATAAAAGATTGACTGGCATCTTATAATGTCCGATCAGACAACTGAAAACCAATAATTTTACAAACAAAAAATAATAGTAAAAATCATGACTCCCAAAAGATAATCATGTTATCCACAGATAGCATGGCTCTTAACGGCGATAAGCAAAAGGAAATAGATTAAAAAAAATCGTTTTATGAATGTATATATCAAAAAGCGTATGTTAATACAATAATTCATTTTATAATTACAACAGGTAAGTCTACAATAACTTCATCTACAATCCGGAGAAGACTCAGACATCGTCCCAGTTTTATTGCTTATCAAAAAATAAACAATAAGTAGAATCATGATGCATGCCAGAGTCAACATTACAAAGACCTATCAATCTTTACCCAAAAAAAAGAGAATCAGAAAAAATACATACTTCCCAAAAGCTCAGCATAGGGTCCACAATGCCTGTGAGCTTCGAGGAGGACAACCTGTAAACGACAAAAAGGAAAGTTAAACAATGAGAGTGATGGTATCATCTCACAACCTCCAAAAATACGTAGTTCAAAAGTACACACCTCTGCAAAGCAATACATCTAAGCTCATTTAAATCACAAACAGGAGGTACCCATATCTCAGTAAACCGATTACGAAGAGCTGGTGAGAGTTCCTTCTTGCCAAAATCACCACCAGGGTTCATCGTTGCAAGTAATAGAAATTCGTCATTAGCAACTATCCGCTCCAGCTTTGAGCCTCCCTTTTCAGCCAGAGACTACATACAGCATGCAGATGACAATGCATTAGTGATTAGACAAGTGCAACCAATTGAAAAACAATGGATTGGATGTAATTAGGGGATAATTTATTATCCTCCTAGGTTCCTGTTCTTTTTTTTTCTTTTATTGTTTTCTCTAAGGATATCTCATCCTTCTCCTTGTAATTGATTTTCTATCAATGAAAAGGTTTTTTCTTATCAAAAAATAAATAAATAAATAAAATAAAAAACGATTTCACTTTTTCTTTAGCTTGAATGTCATTTTCACACAGACAGCACATGAAATACGTCCAGACAGTCCCCGCCCCAACCACCACCACACACACACACACACACCCATAAAAAAAATAAAAAAATAAATAAAATGAAAACAAAATGATACTAATTTCGTTGAAGCTTTGTAATAGAAAGCAAACATAGAATAAATTCAACTTACCAATGTTCTTTCTGTCTCCAGGACACTGTTCATTCTTTCGATTACACTATCATCAGCCAACGAGATCTCATCCACTAGAAAGAGATCCCCACCCTTCATCGCATGAACAAGAGGCCCATCTTGCCACATGAAAATAGTCTGCCACTTCTGATGCAGCTCATAAAGCTTATTTATTACGATTTCTAGATCCTTTATCATATTTTCATGGGAGAGACCAGTTCGTGGAATTAAATCTTGTTTGTACTTTTTGATCATTTCTTGCAGCACAGTCAAAGTTGAAGAGGCTTGACCTATGTCCGAAGAAATTGTCTAGAGCAAAAATGACACCAAAAGACCATATTATTCAACAAAAAAAATGTGATTAGAAAAGCAAATGTATAAAGAGATAAAATGATGGCATACAGAATCTGGGTTACTGGAGTAAAAAGGATCCAGTTTGATCAATGCTTTCATTTCGTTAATTTTTTCCTCAAATTCTGACATCAACGTCGACCTCTCTCGAACAGGATAAAACCCCTGTAAAAATAGTTCATCAAATAATATTCCAAAGAACACTGACTTTAACAAAAGATGACAAGAAACAAAATTGCAAAATATAACAAAACTGACCCCAAGAAAATCAGAGGTTTCCGTGTACTGGTGGCAATTCAAAATATGTAATTTTGACTTCAAACGAGAACTCAGTAATTGGCACACAGTTGTCTTCCCTCCCCCTGTTTCACCAACAAGAAGTACAGGCTCCTTTGCGCTATGGCAACGCTCCACAAGAAAATACAACCTCTGCATACTTTTAGTCCAAGTGATACTGCATTGAAAAGAATCACTAATGTATAAAATGATTAAAAATATTTACACACGTCAACAGACAAAAAAGACTAGTTCTGAACCAATGTAACTCTCCAAGTCCATACCTTCCGGACCCCGTCGTGTCTTCAACTCCATCAGAGATCTGAACAGGATGTCCAATTAATTTCGGAAAATTTAAAAATATATATATATATATTAAAAGATATTTATAAAATTATATAATGCACATATTTTAATATGAGAGGTAAATGGATAATAAAATATACAAATGTGGGAGATTGATTTCATTAACTTCGGAACAATGAATGGAAACCAAAGTATTCAATTTTACAATATGAAGTGAAAAAATAACCACCTGGTACACAACGAATTCTGTGGCCATACTCAAGGTGGTTCTAAATTCTTCCTCAAAATAAAGAAAATAATAATAAATAAAGGAATCGAGAAAAATCCTCCTTTTGCCAACACATAGTATGAATTCTGTGGCCATACTCAAGGTGGCTCTAAATTCTTCCTCAAAATAAAGAAAATAATAATAAATAAAGGAATCGAGAAAAATCCTCCTTTTGCCAACACATAGTATGAATTCTGTGGCCATACTGAAGGTGGCTCTAAATTCTTCCTCAAAATAAAGAAAATAATAATAAATAAAGGAATCAAGAAAAATCCTCCTTTTGCCAACACATAGTATGTTGGGAAAATCAACTTTTGGAAAGATCTGGGTTTGTCCAATGAGTATCCCTTTCACATGAAATAAAAAGAAAATTCACAAAATAATCATATAGAATAACAAAATACAGAACTTTTGAAAAACGGTTCGTTTTTATACAGAAACACTACATAACTTATTTTAGAGGATGAAACAATAGATATTAGCAAAAGAAAAATAAAAAAGGAGGACCACGAGAATACCTTATATAAATCATTTTCAACTAATTTAACACGGAGATGTTTCTCCAAAACTTCTCGGACAACAGATTTCTCGCCTTCTTCTCGGAGCCTCTCTGCCAAAAGATAATAACCATCTCTGGCGAGATCATCAGGAGAACTACCACCAAGTTTCGTAAAACGATCAGCCCAACGAAACAAGTCACGTGGAGTTATGTACCCATGCTTCCCAGCAAATACTTTGCTTCTCTGCCTGTTCAATTGCAACTCCTTCATGACATCAACCATTTTCTTAGCATAACTTCCTGGTATCCTACACCTTTTCTCTATTATTGTACTCAACTCATCTTCCAGAATGTCGTCCACATGGATCTCTACAAACCGATTCCTAAATGCACGAGAAAGCATTTTTCGGCCTCCGTAGATAGTAGGCGGATTCTGAGTAGCAAAAAGCATAAAATTGTCATGTGCTAGAATTGTTTCTTGCAACTCAGGCACAAAAAGCTCTCTGTTGTCATCCAGTAAACGATTTAATGCTTCAAGGACATCAGACGGAGCCAAGTTTAGCTCGTCCAGAACAATCCAATAACCCTTCCTTACAGCCCTAACCAGCACACCTTCATGAAATACAAGTTTCCCACTAGCATCAGTTATATATGTACCCAGATATTCTTGCAAATCCGTGTGTTCATGATTATTGATTCGAAAAAATTTATGACCTGTTAGAGCCGCAAGATACCGAACAAGGCTAGTTTTTCCACTAGATGTGGGTCCCTGCAAGAGTACAGGATACCTTCTGATCAAAATAGCACGTGCCACATTTCGTAGATTTTCCCTTACACTTTTAGTTAAGATATAGTTTTTTGTAAATTCATCAGCATCTGCATCACTTTTGGAAGGCAAATAATCATCAAAAGGTACGTGATGTGGACCTTTCCCCCCTAGTAAATAAGACAAGATCATCTGGTCCATTATCTTGGCACTCGGTCTATCCAACAAAGTCTGGAAAAACATACAGAATCCATCATACATTGCTCTCTGAGAAACTTTTGATCCATCATATATTTCTCTCCGGAACCCAAAATTATTTTCAGCCTTCCTTGTATATTCTAGTGCACGGTAAAGAGACCTTAAACTATATTGTGGTTTTTGATTAGCTCCATCCTGCAGCCTTTCTTCCGCATTCTTTTTTGCTGCTTTATAAAAGCACACGATCTTACTTACTGATTCTTTAGCTGATTTGTTGTCACCCAAAAATTTATTGACAAAAAGAGTGAGATCTTCATCATCAAGCACATCATCAACAAAATATTCTGTAAATCTGCTCCTTAAAGAAAATGGTAGATCCCTCTTCCCAGCATCAGTTGCAGGATTCATACAAGCGAACAAACGAAAATTAGGATGCCGATATATGCAATTAACATCCCCTCTTTCAGCCAAACAAAGTGAACCATTATCTCCTTCAAGAACACCAATAACTCTCTGCAGTATCTCGGGAGAAGCCAAATTCACCTCATCAAGCAAAATCCATTCTCCATTTTTTAGCGCGTTTATAAAAGCCCCTTCTACAAATGAAAATATAATTCCAGATGCAGCAACTACTTGGGCACGGGCGGTTTCAAGATTTCCAGAAAAATTTTCCCATGACTTAATTCTTTCCTCATCCAAAGGCTTCTTTCGCTTTTTCCCAGATTCTGCTAATCCCTTTTGAACTGACTTCTGAAAAAAATCAACACCTTTCTGAAACCCACTTAGTAACGATTTCCATTTCTTCTCAGCATAATGCTTTTGCAAACGGGAAAGAAAATCGCTATTGGCCTGAAGCAGCAGCACAAAATATTATTAGCAAAACAGTGACAAAAATAAATTTGCAAGAAGCATATTAAACACAGTACCTTCAGAGAAAATGTCTTCTTGAAGAGGTCTTCAAACTCTTTATATAGGGGAACACATATAAGCTGAGCATCCATAGGCTTAAATCCCCCTAATAAGTCAGCAATGTCACTTTGCTGACTCAAGTTCTAGAACAAAAAAATAACGTGGAAATTAAGAACACCTTAAAAACAAATAAATACAGTGACCAATAATAGTAAAAGCAAATGATAAATATAGAGAGAAGGAAAGAAATCCTAATCAACATTACCAGAACTGTTAGTTTCTGACCGAGCCTCAGGGCCAGATCCTGTACAAGTGTGGTCTTTCCTGTGCCAGTTTCCCCAACCATGAGAACAGACTCATTATACTTAACAGAAGCAGCTAGTCTCTCGAGCAAATGAAGAGAACTACGTATCTCAACAAATGATTTCCTTTTTGCACGTGACTGCAAAAGTAAATGAAAACATCAACTCAGAAGCTAGATTGGAGTAAACTGAAAGCAGGAGAATGCGAAACAAGAAGCTCCACTAACAGTAGTTTGGTGTTCAAGAGTAACGCGACCAATTCTTATGTATTGAAGTGTATCCTGCAGCATGCTTGAACGGTGAGAATTTCAGTGTCACCTTGTCAACAAGTTATAAAGACAATAATTTCTAAAAACAAGGACCTGAATTATGGGTTTATTAGCAGGATACAAAGTCTCTCCAATGGCTGGTGGCACTGCCCACAGCCTGGCAATCTCTTTCCTTATAGTCAAGCGATTTTCAATAGAAGTTGAAAAGGCCGCAAATATATCAACAGCCTAAAATCACAAGATAATGGATCAAAAACTGGAACCGTATATGGCAATCATTAACATGACATGAAGGACAAGGGCAAAGAGAAGCCTGCAGACTGTTAGACCTCTTGATAGATGCAATGACACTCGTCAGCTGACAAACTGTTTCCAACAAAGCTAAAGCCCAGACCTGCAATGCGCTTGCACCATTTAAGTAGATCCCTACAATAAAAAAAAAGGGATATCCAAACATAAAAAATCTATGTCAGCTACATGTGAAAACTTGAAACAGTAACTCCACTTACCTTAATGAGAACCTGCTTAGATAACCAGCAGAATCAGAGTTTCCGCGATGAAATCCAGCAAGTTGATCTAATGGAGCAGACTTTACCCTATCAAAGGTTTCTAGAAGCAATTCACTTGTTAGTCAAAGGGAACATGCGTCTTAATCTGAACCATGTATATGTATAAGAAATATAACAAACCTATTAGCTTCTCGACAATAGGTTCAAGACTTGGATAACTTGCTTTCACTATATCTTTCAAGTCCTCGACACTTGGCGGTCCAACCATCACTCTCCTCCAAAAAACAGAGAGTGAATTCCCCCCTACCACAAGGTAATCACATGTTTAAGCAACAATATACATACAATGACAAGATATAAACACGATGAGCGGAAGAGAGAACAAATGTGCTCATCATTTAATGCCAACTTAAAAGGAGGCACTACTCATCTTAAGCTTCTCATAAGTTTTTGTAGCCGTAAAATTCATTAATTAAAAAAGGGAAAAAAAAAAAAAAAGAAAGAAGAAGATATAGAACCACATATCAAGAACAAATGCAAATACGAATGCAATTAATGCAATAATTGAAATGCAACCCTTGGCTATCAACAAGTGAGAATAGCATTAGAATATTTTAAGACAATCCACTAAAAGGCAGAAATCTATTCCAAAGTAAAAATTCAAAATCAGAATCAAATCATAATAAAGAATTGCCCAAAAATTACTAGGTGTAACGTAAAAAATCATACCTTGTATACTGCTCGATATTTCAAGTTTAGAAGTTGTAATTGTCGAAAATAATCGAAAGCCTTCTGCTACACGTATCTCCTGCAAATATTCCAACATTTTAAGCAATTCTAATAAATCACAGCCATCTCCACTAAACAAAAATTAGAAGATGAGCAGAATCTCAAGGAAAGCTAAGTGTAAATTATTGGAAGTGAAGATCAAAATGTAATAATGTCCAACGAATCATCAAAGGCAAGTGCCAAATTGATGTCCAAGACCAATAATGAAATTTCCAGTTACCTCTCCATGCCCAGTTACAAGTGAGCTCACACCCTCCAACAAAGGCAATATGATAGAATGTACATCAGAGGGTGCTTTGTCAATATCCTCAAAAACAACCCAGTATCCACAGAGAACTGCCTGTTGAGAGGAAAACTTGAGTAAAAGTACAACCGAGAGGCATTTTATACATATATATATATATATAAGAAACGGATTTAATAAAAGAAAGATAACAGAGAAAAGAGCTACATAACGTCTTGGGCAAAAGAATAAACCTGACTAAGTGACCCTAGCTGCCATTTAAACTCGCCAGGTTGTTCCGTACTGACATAACTTCCAATTAATGTTTTTCCATCAATTTGATCATCCATGGAAATTGATACAACTGCAGAATAGAGGGGGGCAAAAAATGCTATTCATGGTAGAAAATTGAATAAAAACTCAAGAAACTGGTAATAAAGCAAGAGACAAGTAGATGACATTTACATATAAAATTAATAAGCTACCAATCTGACAAAGCTTGTTAAAGGCATAATAGCCCAAAGTGAAGCACAGTGGCTAAAGCATTAAAAAATGGATTCTAACTCTAATATAAGTGATGCATGAATTATTTCTTTTCGCATTCTCCACAATATTAAGCATTCATGAAATGTCTTTTTTTCATCTTTGATCAAAGGAAAAGAAAAATAAAAAAGACTACTTCTACGAATGAAAACCTAAATGTATTGCGTCTGTCCAAAACTTGACATTCTTAAAGGATGACAAGGACAAGTCAGATAAATGGAACTCCTAGAGCAGCATAAATTTCAAAAGAGATTTATTTACCGCAAGTCAGACAGAGAAAAGATCAAGAATGTTGTGATACAAATATATTAGTTAAGAAAACAAGATCTCTACCTTGTTTCCCACTATCCTGGGCGAACTTGCTAATAAGAGAGGATTTTCCACTGCCACTGGGACCATATAAAAGCACTGGCCACTTTTGAATCACAGCTAATCTTACTGTCTCAAAACTTCTCTTCACAGCTGATGTTAAAACAAATGGATTTCCAGAAGACACACGATCCCTGAAGAAAACGGAGATGTTCACAAAATGATGAGGTGAAGAACCATGGTCAAAGCACAGACACACTTACAAAGTAACGGGACAAGTGAAAAGCCAACTATATCCAGTGATTCCCAGTTTAGAAGGAACTAAAAATCCATCTACAAGTAGCAGACCCTAAAAGAAAAGGATAAAAAAGAAAAAGAAAAAGAGTATCTATGGTTCTGCAATATGACAACCTACCAAGCAAGCCGTTGACTCCTAATGGGTGGCTCAAGACGAAATTGTGGTGAAGAAATGTGCTGGGAATCAAAGCTAGAAGACTGCACACAGATTCTCTGATCAAAATCACAGCTTCCACTACAGGAAGCCGACTCATTTTGTCTGGATGATTCAATGTACCAGCCAGCTTTCTCCAATGATACATCCTGGAGGAACTTCTCCCATCTGAAAATGGTCAAAATGATATATAAACAACATAGACCTGTTGCAAATACTTGATTGCAAATTTGCAATTTGAAAAGGAATATAAGAAATATTGAAAACCAACCTCGAAAAACATAAAAGTGCATCTTTAGATTCTTCAGTTTTAGATTCTTTACACTTGACTCCCAAGTTTTCAATTGCTCTATCACTCAATCTGAGAACAACTGACACTATCTGTAACCCACACCATTTTATGTCGCTAACAATCTCCACTGTTTCAGTACAGCTGCAAGAATCAGGATTTTTATACTGTTTTACGAGGTCTAAGAAACAGGACCAATCCCAAAGTTTAGTGAAAGTCTCAGATGCCATTAAGAGGAGGCAGTAAGATGTCCTGACAGCAGATAGTAAGCGATGTCCAACCTACCAAAAAGCAGAGCATCATATTGAAAACACAAGAAATATCACAAGGAAAGCAATCATTGTCCAATATAAAACTAAAGTTGCGTGAGACGCCCAAAAAATAATTTCATTTACTTTCTCATATGAAAAGTCAAAAGTCCAGTCTAAATTAACACTCAAGTTTAGTAAGAAACCGTGTCATGACAGCATTAACGTAAGAATAACCTAACTTTGCTCAAGCATCATATAAACTCAAACGAACCTTTTAAAGAAAAAATAAAAAGAAGCAAATAACTTAATTGCAAAGATAAATAGGAAAGAAAACATACAGGGGCAAGAGGAAGAGGTTTCCTCAAAAAGCAACCCCAGAACTACAAAACAAACAACAAAACTACTAAGTTATAAAAAGATGCCCAATTTTGAAAGATGCCCAATTTTGAATAGTCTGAAAAAAATTGGGCGACCAAAAAACCCATAATGACACCCAGTATTTCACTTTGTCCCATAAACAAGACAATCTTTCCCACGATCCTTAAAAACTCTTTAATTCCTCTCTAGCCAAATACCCCAAAAAATAACCAAGATAGTAACCCTCCATAAAATTTTGCCCCTGCAACTGAGACTAGAAGGTGGACAGAGCTCGAGCAGCTCTGTACAGCTACTAGGAATTGCCCAAAACAGTCCAAATTCTATTAAGACTGGCCTTTTTGCTTCTCCTATCAACTCAAGCTTTAAGAGATGAAGTCTAAGATGGCATCTAAGCAAGATGCCCCAACTGCGATGATGAGATTCTTAAATGGATACAATTAACTCAAAACAATAACAATAAAGTAAAAAGGACTGGCATCAATCTAAAGTGCCAGTCTGATGAAGAATTAGATTAAGAATTATACTAGAATTTTCCTTTTGAATTTGTATAGTTATCAATTAAGAGATACAATAGCTTTAATATTTAATTTTGAATTAGGTTTATGTTTATGTCGTAGATTATTTAGAATTTAGTTATGTGTATCTTTCAATTCTATTTCTCGATAAATAGTTTGATTCTAATTTTTATTCGGAGAATGTTCATGAAATTTGATATTGTTGGTTTCCTTCTCTTGAGCTCTTACTCTCCCTAGAATCCCTTCTTTCTTCTCCCTTAGTTCTACTTCTATCTTCCTAATAATTCTATCTCTCCTTGATTCCCTCTTTTTCAACCTCAATTCTATCTCTTTCTTGGACCTATCTTGGTCTTACATCATAGTCTGAAATAAATTGTTTCTATAAGCTTAGAAACCGGGTACATGATGCACAAGAGAAAAAATAAATTATTGGCCGACCTTCCTTTAGGATTCTGTTTCCTCATTAGACACCCACACATATTTACATGTAATATACAAGTGCATGAGCATGTGATGTGATTTTAACTTGGGGGTATTCTAAAAAGAAAGTACCTAAACATTTACCAAAGATGGGGCATACCTTAACACACGGATCAGAAATTGCTTGTCCTGTCAAAACACGTTGAAATGGAGCAGGTGCAAATTCGAAATAACTTAACACAGACCTGCACAGGATAAATCAAACTCCTCTTACACAAATCCTAACAATGAAGAAAGAGACAATTCTCTGCCTGTCTACGTTTTTGCACGTATAGTGCGTAATACACATCTTACCACAATAAAAAGGGAGCCAAATGAAGAGCACGGCAGAAGGCCAGACAAGCGTGCTCATGAAGATCCAGACCCATCTTTTCTCGACTATAGTACTCGAAAACTGAATCATTAACTAAAATCCAGTAATCCTTGTGTACTTCTTCCATTGCATCGTCAGAATTAGACCTCAAATTGGGGACAAACCGGAGCAACTCCACAGCTTTGTCCACAATTCTTCTGGCTATTGGGCGGAAACAACCCATCAGTGGAACGGTGTAATTCAGCAGCAGAAAGGCCTCTGCCAACTTTTCCACCACTCCATCTTCATCTTCTGTCGCCCCCTGCATTAATCAGATAAATTTCCATGGAACGGATATTTCTTCTCACTCCAAAACCACAAGTTTTATTATACAAAAAAAAAAATAACAACAATCTACAGTAATATATTCCCAGTTCTTCCATTTTTCAACTGTCCTCTAAATAAAGTCAAAACTTTGTAAAAATTTGAGTTTCATTTTTCTTTGTTATTCAATTTTCCCACTAACCAAACAAACTAGAGAACCGCAAGCGAACATTGTACCTCAATCGCATACGATTCGAACCGGCGAACATGACGAAGCTCCGGGCAGCGTTCGAGAAGCCATTCCAACGAAGATTGTAAACTGAAACTCCCGCCGGTAGCCATTCTAAAAACTCAAAAATATATCAACTAAAAAACTGTATAAATATAAGACGCAATATGTCATATATAATCTTAGCAAACAAAAATTCACAACCCAGAACCAATTCGCCTTAATCGAACGTTTTTCGACCGGTAAATCAGTCCAGAAAAATCAAAATTGCAAGGACAAAACAGCCTTGAGTGAAATTCTATGAAAAAACAAATACTCCAGAATTCTGAAACAAAATTGATGCACTTCAACTCCGACGCAAAGCTCGGGTGGAAATTATGGTTTTGCAATCGGGAGGTTTTGGGTGCAGGGTTTAGGGTTTATGTGTTTTACTCACCGCCATGTTTATGTCTTATTATGTCGTATGTCAATATTTTTGTCGTATGTCGTTTGGATTTTTGTCGTATGTTTATTTTCTATTTTAGAAGAATTCTATATTTGAATATAATTTTATATTTATATTTTCAATACTCTTTGAATATATTACTAAATCTCATGTATTCAGAATCATAATTTAAAATTATTTTTATTTTATGTGTATTTTTTATAAGAAAAAAATATTATAAAAAATCATAAATTATAATTTAAAATCAGAAATAAATACATAAAATAAACATTTCCTAAATAATTAATTAGAATCCATTAATTAAATTATTAAAAAAATTATGTAGAAAATCATTCTGTAAAATTCGGATGATATTTCTAGAAATCAAAAGCAGATATTTATTTTGTTATTATTGAAATAATAAAGCATATTTTCATAGAATTCAATAAAGCACGTATTAAGATAATATTTTTTTAGGTTTCAAAAAAAAATGGATATTTGAAAAACTTTGGAAACTATTAATAATTGAGTTTTAGCAATGTTTATTTTAATTTTTCTCAAAAAAAAAAAGACGTTTATTTTAAAAGTACGATGCTAGAATGAACAGGAGGAACAACAATATCAATATAAGATTGTATATAATAACCCTTTTTACGATTAGAGAAACAATTGTCGTGTTTTGAATTGTTTTTATTTTTATTTTTTACATTTTTCAAAAAATAAAAAATAAAAACGATTCTAAAATAATGTTTGGCACAATTAAAGATAAAAAATAAAAATAAAAATAATTTTTTAAATTAGTGTAAAATGAGAAAGAAATGAAAAACGACTTTTAGTCGATTTTCATTTTGTGTTTTCACTTTCTCCTCTCTCGAGCATAGAGAAAGAGATTAATGAGTTTTTTTATACTGAAAATAATCTCTTGATAAAACTACCAAATGCATTTCGAAAATGATTTCTATTTGAGATTGAAAACGTGTTCATTTCTATTTTCATATAAAAAATAAAATCATTTTAAAACAAGTTCCAAACACGCATATCATCTTATCAACACTTCTTTGCAGTTTTTGGTGCATAAATAATTTTTTTCATGCGCCACTCTTCATCTTCAATGTACCTTAAAGGTCTATTTTGATTGCATTTTGTAGTCCCCATTAATTTTAAAGTACATTCTTCAATCCACCATTATATACAAAGTTGAACATAATGAATTATGTAGACATCAATATACAAAGGTGTACGCATAATACAATACTACTATACCAGTCTATAAACATAAACTAAATCATAAAAAGGAAAGAAATAAAAGAAGTAAACAAAGTCATAAAGAAGCATATTTACATTTCAATGCGCGTACATTTTGACACAACAGCAGACATCATTAGCCAATAAAATGCGGCTAACTTCAATATGAAGACATCTATCCACAGGTTTAGTGCCAAGGAGGGTGAGGAAAGAGCCGTCAAAGACATTTCAATCATTCGAATGTTGTAATAGAAATGCGAAACCCGAGTTTTCGCGGATCAAAGGTGGAGGATCAACATCGGTCACTTCGATTTGGTCCATTGACTTTGAAATGTGGTCCACGGAAAACGGAACACTACAAAAAAATTTTGTTGATGGATAATGTTGACATACAGCCAGATGAAGATACAAGTGGTAGCAGAAATATGCAATGATCATAAATCAATTACCTTGAGTCATCATCCAATAAGAAAGAGCTGCTGATAGCATTCTTTGATTCCTCAGTCATCAAAATTCTCATACCCGAAATGACCTGTGGCGAGTGAATACTAAGAAGATGAGATTTTTCTGAGAAATCAATCAATGAAAGACTTGCACCTACTTATGTGACATATTGTGAAGGGAATGTGCATATATGACCAAAATTTTAAAATCCTTTTCAAAAACCAGTAAATTATTTAATTTGGATTTCCGTCGATTTCAGTAACTATTCAATTTATCTAAATAATTCATTGACATTGATATTAATAAAAAAAAAATTTGTGGATATTTTTTTTCAGAGAAAAAGTATCCAAAATGAATAATCATCAAATTTTCCAAATATTGAAGCAAGATGGCTAAAGTACTAATTTGAGACAAGAAAGTTGACGGATTAAACACATTGAAAACAAATCTAAACAAGGTGTTTTGTTACCAACGCAATTTTGAAAAGGTCATCAATGGGAGGGTAATAGAAGACTGACAATTGACAACCCACTCAAATGATTAGGAACACTTTCGACTTACATCCGAAGATACGCTTTGTGTACCGTATTTGTCATCCCAGTACATTGTACAGATTCTGTATAACTGCTGTATGCTCAGCGCCTGAAAGAAGCAGCACAGAAGAAATGAGCTTAAGTCCTAGAGAGAAACAGAACAAAGAAAAAAAAAATTTACTCACCGGGCAAAGATCGTTTGTTATTTCTTTTAATGACTTTTTGGGCTTCTGATGTATGACCTGAAATGGCATGGGAGTAAACGCTAAATAATAAGCACCTAGGAAAAGTAAATGGGTATGTGAAGGATGTGAGAACAGATAAATGATCAAACCAGGAAGCCAACAGCTTGTCTGATATGCCTCAGCTCCTCCCAAGCAGAGCCTGTGAACTGAATGCAAACCAGATGTTAAACGACAATTTACTTGATTTCTATGAGTTTTATAGCAAATTGATGGTTTACTGTTAGTAAATCAATGAACTATCTTTAGTATATTTATGATAAGGTAAATCAATATATAAAAAATAAAATAAGAAAATGGAACCTCCTCGGTGGCATCATGAGACCACTGTTCCAACTCAGCCAAGCCTGTCTTGACATACTCCCCATTACTGAATGAGCAACATTCACGTCTCAAAAGAAGACTGCAATTAATTAATCATCAAATCAAGACTGATCAGGTTAAAGTAGTTACTGAAGCAAGTAGATACAAGACTTTTTGGTTCTTTTCACCTGTTAAACAACTGAACATTGACAAACGAAAATATCTGAGTAAACATCTTGCGAATCAGAAATGGTGGTACCTGGAGGACCATGATATTGAAGAAGGTTATGTTCTGTACATAGTATGAAAAACAACCATTTTTAGTACACGTATTTTAGAGTTCCACTTACACAGTTGGCTCTCATGGTCTTCAAGTAGTTCTCTAAGGTTGTCACAATGCTCGGCCAGTGAGCAGTCAAAGGTCGTTGTGCGGTAGAATCAGCTTGTGAGCGTCCCTTCGCAACACCAATCCGCGATGTCCTAGGTGTCTTTAGATTTGGGGAGAACCAAAAACAAAACAAAAAAAATCATATGAAGTAGTAATTTTTGGACCCTAGGAAAAATCACCAAAAATATGCCACACGAGTTATTGAGAAAAATGTAGAAATATTTTGTAGAGAGAAGAATAATGTGCATGAAAAGGTGTTTGTTGAATTGTAATTTACCTGGATGCATAACCCGAGCACTGAGGCGACCTCTCTCTTCAAGTTATCTCGCAGCTTTCCATATATCTTCTCAAGGAAGGCTGTAAGTTGCTGTTTGAAAAGCAAAGCTGGATATTTGGCTTCAACCTGTCGTAATTCATCCGACCCACGTAGCCGACCACTGAGGAACGAGAAACCAGCACTTTGTGGAGATGCTCGAAGCCCCTAAAATTTCGGTAACAATTGAAAACAAGCAGCAACAGAAGTTTGAAACAGCTTGAACTAGAGACATTTTCCAAAACTTAAAAACAGAAGAAAATCTTACTTGAGACATCCTCCCAAATAGAGATGTTGATGCCGTTCGACGCTGCGGAGTTAAGCTAGCTGGTCCAGTTGCTTTTAGTGTACGTTGAAGTAACAAAAGCAGCGTGGATGAATTGGACAACCAATAAGCTAACACATCACTGTTATCCTGGGCCTTCAGTTCAGTGAAACACATTTTAGTGACATGACATGACATTAGAAACCAAACACAGTTCGGTTAGAATTTCTTGTTGTTCCAGTTAAAAATTTAACAAATGTTAGTTTTTTTCCAGACTAAGTATCAATTAGCTTACTTGTGACCCTATTTTAAACTATAAACCATAATCCATAAAGACCATGAACAGGAGATTACCTCTATTGCTACACCTATAGTCTGAATGATATGATCAAAAATACCGGTTCTTTCAACCTCAAATGACCTCCACTGCAGAAGGCATTTGTATATCAGACAAGCCGCAACAGGCATGCCCCTAGAGAAACCTAGATCTTGAGATATGCACTTTAAGAGAAGGTCCTGATTCTCCTACACCCACATAAAACAATGTTTCAATGTGAAGAAAATGAACATCGACCTCTTATAATTTGTCCCATAAACTTTGTTATAATTGTTAACCTGCTGCTTCTCATTTAGAGATCTCTGGGGCCTTTCTTCAGCTTCAGACTCCTGAGGATTACTTGTGATGTGATCCTAAGTCAAGCAACAGATGAATTAATATATCACATGATTCTACCTCAAGTACTCAAGTTCTACATATGCCAAACCACAAGTTTCATCTTACAAGGGCTTTCATCATGCCTCCATTATGCACAACCCCGTTCTCTGGAGTTCTCTGTAGTTTGTTGAAAAACATTTTTAGTTATTTTACGAAGTCGACAACATTTCCATTAACTAAAATACGAGTTTCATATCGTCACCTGAATAATCGTTGACTTCGATCTTGCAGATAAAATTTTTCCATTTGGTGAGATGGCTTGAGCTTGTGACCTGAGAACATGATTCTCTGATTCTAAATTGGATACCTTCTCTTCAAGCCTGAATTGCAGGTGCGAAAAGGAAATGAAAAATTAAATGTATTGCATCTTCTTTTCCTGTATTCTAGATTCTACATCTTGAGAAGCTTCTTACATATGCGTGTTTAATGTCTACACATGTTTTTACGTCTATTTACATTTTATTGCCTCCAGCGCATATCTTATTTATGATTATACGTCCTATATTATTGAAGAAAAAGAATATCACTTAAAATTCTCTTCGCAAAAGTATTCATCATGTTCTCTTTCAAACCTCTGCACTGAATCTTGGAGCTGATCCACTTTTTTCTCTGCAGCTTCAAGCTTCCTGGTCAATTCTTCATTCTTGGCCCGCTCCACAACAGAAACCTCATTTGGCTCCTTAGTTTTTTGTGTTTTTGACTCTAGCAAAGCCTATACAAATAGGAAAAATAAAATCAATCATTTATAACTCATTGGAATCAAAATTTATCCTCACTTCTATGTCATAAATTGTGATACGTCATATGGGCTAAAAAATCTTTTTTATTCCAGAAAGGCGGGATTTTAAAAGCATGTATCATATGCTTGACATGACCAAAATAAAAATCAAATAGAATGTCCACTAATTTTTAATAAGTAATTATCCCCTCCAAGATCATGACTCTACCTTCAACCTCCCAACTTCAGCTGTCAAGGAATCAACCTTTACCGTATCTTGTACCATAACTTGGGTCTCCTTGACGATAGGAGGTGCTTCTTCAATAGCTTTTCTAGCCGCCTCTCGTTCTTTAATAACTATGGAGTTTTCTTTTTCTACTTGTAATTGCATTGCACGCAAGATATCCTCCAGTTTTGCAATTTCTTGAGATTTTGCCTCCTCAAAATCAGTCTGTTTCAGAAAGCAAGAGCTATAATACTAAGTCAGACTTATTATGTGCCATAAGCAGTTATTATATTCATATATATTACAAATATACACACACAATTCAATGCTTAATTTTCTAAGAAATATAAATTTGATACTATAAACACATACAAACACATAAATGTTGACATATGGGGAAAAAACAAGAGAAAGAAATTACTACCCTTAATCGTTTTTCCGATTGTAACTGACATGAAAGCTCCTCCACGCGCTTTTCCAGTTTGTCCTTTGCTGCTTTAAGGGCCCCCGATTCCCTTGCAGCCTAAATAAATTTAAAGAAAACACAATCATTTGCCTAGTTTCTCCTACGCAACCCCAAAAAACTGGTTTACAGTAAGCCAAAAGCAGGGAAAAAAATATCTAACAGAACATGCCATTTTGAGTTTTCTAAGCTCTCTTCTAGCAACTCTGCATCTCCATCCACACTGAGAAACGACTGCAGCCTTTTGTAGACTCTTATAATAAGAGTAAGCTTGATGGAAACGCCAATTTGCCTGCAGAACAGCCGTAACAATAGATGAACAAAATAACTCTGGAGTTATTCACAAAACTGCAAATGAATTTAAGACAAGGCAAAACGCATGTCGAATTTTTATTTTTTGTTGAAAAGGGGAAAAAAAAACAAGAAGTATATGATTATGCCATTGAGCGCCGATGATACCTGAATACTAATGGCAGCTTTAGTTTGCTTCCGGAAACTGAACTGCTTCCGCGCGTCCATTGCCCTTAAGCCTGCCTGCAATGTGATTGCAGATGAACATAGTGTTAAGTAGGATTTCATAGCAATATGTCGCTTGACATTTGCCTGGATCTTCAAGGCTGCAGCTTCCTGTCTCAACTGTTCATACAGTTCGCGGGCCATTTTTCCTGAAAAAAGGGAGGAAACGAAACGGAATCCAGCATAGGAAGATAAATTAACTCGAGCTGATCATTCTTGGAACAACTCATGATTCTTAGGACTGCACTTTTAGACATACTTTTATTCACTATTTAAATTAATTTTCCAGTCAGCAGGTTATCAAGGACAATCTTTTCATCTTACTGGTATATATTTGATCACAATGTTCTCACCTCTCGTGACACACTTTGATCAAAAAACTGGTATCAGTTAAAGTATTATCATGTAAGTGTCTCCAATCCTTTCCTAAGCCTACGGTGTAGGTTACAAATTTCGCCAGTTCTTAGTCAACTTGTACAGTTATTCCCCAACAGGAAAAGGTGGTTGAAGTCCTTTAACTAACTAAAAGCAAAGGAATCTGAAAGGCATACCTCGCCAATGAGATTGGAACTGAATAGCAGCTTTACGCAATGAGATGAACTCTTTACGAGCAATGAATGTTCGGATTTGTCGCTGAATTGTTCTTGCAGCATTTCCAAGAACTTCTGTCCTTCTAGCATCCAACTCAACCATCTGTCCTGCCCTCAGGAAAACTTTGGACTTGCCTATCTGTTATTATGTACCACATATAGTTAATGGTAAAGAGGACATAAAGAAAACTAATCCATAGTTCCCACAAGGACACAAGAAAGTAACCTGATATCCCTTCAATCCCCTTTTATCAAGTATCATTTTGCATGCAACTTTATCATCATAACTGTGAAAAGATGGAAAATGGTTATAAGTTATATCAACCAGAGAAAACATGTAATGCAAAAATTGAACTTACTTTGCTTCTAAAACTTCTGGTGCCAGAACACCAAAACGATTTTGAAAATCGTAAAATGTGCGTCTGGTAGGATAGCCAGCGCAGCTAATCCTAATTGCCTCAAGAACACCCTAAAAAAGAAATTGAAAACTAAAATTATACAAGGAAAAGAAAGGAAAGCAGTTAATGAACCAACAATATCTACATTTCCAACAAAATCTGACTTACAAATAACAATCAAGAGATGGAATATACTTACCCCACAACGTAATTGATGAATGATATTGATGTTCTCGAATATAGCAGGTTTCAGGACATTATTTGGCTTTACACATCTAATGTAGTGAGGTTCTGTTACACTTAAAGTCTCCATCAAAGACTGAAGTTGTAGCTGTGAATTCATGGAAGCAGATTAGTTAGAGCTGAAGAATAATCCAAAAGTTTCAATTCAAGAGAAACTAAAATAGCTTATGAACATTGAAACCTTAAAGCGGGATCCAATTGAAGAAAATTTGGACGACTTCAATGCTTCTTCTGGAAGTGGGGTAAAGAGGCCACAAACAAATGAGCATTTCGAGGCTGTTAACAAATCTTGATGCTCAGCAATAATGTAATCTTTGTTCTTGTCCAGAAACTGATTGGCTTGGTAAGTTACCTTTACAAAGCAGATAAAATCTTAGATACCAAACAGAATAGCTGACCATTTCAATTCAAAAAGCCTGTAATCACCAAACAAGGAGAATTTACCTCCCCAGCATAGTGTGCTATGGTAAAATCAATCCGAGAAAGCTTTGGTTTGATAAAACGTTTATCATCTTTGAATATCTGATACAACTTTTGTGCAAAAGTTTCATGAGTTGACCTGGGAAACATGCTGCAACCAACAATGTGCAAGTGAGTAGTGGAATGAAGCGAAAAACTAATAAACTTAAAAAATTAAAAAATTAAAAAATAATAAAAAAATAATAATAATAATAATAATAATAATAATTTTTGTATCTACTATGAAGAGTGTTATTTGAAATTAACAAATCATCAAAAGACAGCAGCATACCAGGCTTCATCTAATAGAGCAATAATTCCACCAGGTTTCTGTACAAGATTAGGTCACTTTATCATTACATGATAAAAGGTTGACAACTCTAATATATATGCCAATATCTAATTTGCATTATTCCAACTGCCACCAGAAAAGTTTCCCGAAGCCCAGAAAAGGGAAACATCAAAATCATACATTTGAATGATTGTACAAAGCAAAAGCTAAAAACCTTTTCAATTAGATCCAGCACATCTTGGTTATCTACAAACTCAATATAGCTCCAGTCTATCTCTTCTTTGGTATACTCCTCTTGTTCCATCTTAAACACATGCTGCAATCATAAAAACAAATAAATTAACCCCTAACGCATAATATGCTGTAATGGAGATGACTTCATCACACTCGAGCAGAAAAGGCTAACCTGATTGAAGTGTTGTTGTAGTTTTTCATTTGTGAAGTTGATGCAGAACTGCTCAAAGCTGTTTCATGGGGAAAAAATTGAAGGCATAGAACCAATGGTTTTATGAAACAATAACTCGTATTAAAATGACAAAACCATGGTTATTATTGGGACGTTTTCTGTCTCTCCAATTACTTAGTTCAATGTCATACCTATTGCACTTAAAACTTTCAAAACCATAGATGTCGAGAACTCCAATTGTCGACTTCGAGTTTGGGTCCTGTCCAATTGAAATGTTAATTTTATCCACAAGCCTGTGAACAATACAATAAAACATGTTAAAATTCTACATAGTAAAACTCAAAACATAAATAAAAAATAAAAATTGTCCATGGAAAAGGAAAGCAAGAGTTAATAGTTGATTCAATGAGCTCCTCACCAGTCAAATAACCGAGAATATATCGTCTTAGCTAATGCATCCCTGCTAGCAGTAGCATTCAGAGGGTCGAGAGTTTTTGTAATAACTTCTTCTGGTGTGACCATCACACGTTTAATGAGTGCCTCTTCCAAGCTCTGGGCATCACATCTATATGATGATTTTAATTAATACATGAAGTAATAAGTAGAACATATATAGAAATAGATAAATTAAGAAAAAAAGAATGTACCCAAGAAGTTCAGCAGTCATATTAAGATGGAATCTAGATTCATCATCCTTAATGACCGAGGAATCTATTTCCTCCCCTTTGGAAAAATCAATATTACCGAGGTGAAGAATTGCAGCCACAATCCTGAATATCGACTCCTGGAAGAATCACAAGTGATCGTAATCTGACTAAACCAAAAAAAAAAATGAAATGCAAGACCTTCAAATTACAAGATGTACCTGTTCTTCCTCACTGATTCCAATTATGTCCATAGCCCTTCTAGTTGCAAGATACTCGTGGCTATCATTTACTCCATCCAGCTCATAACAGTTTGATTGATTTAAATAATGGAACAATCTTGGGCTTCCCAGCTTATATCTTTCGATATCCTGTATTTATTAAAAAAAAAAAAAAAAAAAACTGCAGTTAAAAGCCTTCTATATATGTGCAATTATTCACTGATAATGTGCAATTTGCAGCTTTAAGGATACCTCTTGTGGTGCAGCACAAAGAAGGTAAAAGCAATGGTAGTTTCTCTCTGGATCAGATATTTGGCACACCCGAGACCTTTCAAGCAGATAAGTTCTAATGGCAGCCCCAGATATTCTTCCTTTCTCATCAAATTGGATTTCAACGAATTTACCAAATCGGCTATATAGTAGTAAGGCCATGATAACACGAAAAAAGATGCGTTGCATAAGAATCTTTAACTACAATATATTAAGACAGACTTCAATATGTGAAACAACAGTCTAAACTAACACATACCTTGAGTTGTTATTTCTAACTGTTTTGGCATTGCCAAATGCTTCAAGAACAGGGTTGGACTATAAGATTAGACCACCAAAAAACAGCATAGACTTTTAGTCAGATTACTGATTTTTCACAATATGAAGGGCAAGCAGATTAAAATGCGCCATCTAACCTAGGACAAGTTTATATTACCTCCAGAACTTGTTGTTCAACTGTTCTTCCTTCCACTCCCGAATGGCCTCCCAAGAATGCGAGATATCTCATGAGCATCTTCGTTGTCTCAGTTTTACCAGCACCACTCTCCCCACTCACCAGAATTGAATTATTTTTCCCTTCATTGATCATGGCCCTATTTTCATATGACAAGCTCATCAGTAACAAGATAACTGAAGATAAAGTAAGAGTTTCCACAATGTGTGGAATATGCATACATATCTTACCTGTATGCAGCATCTCCAACAGCAAAAACGTGAGGACTTAGCTCCCCAAAAGGCGCTCCTTTATATTGTTCCATCATGTGAATGTCGTAGAGATGAGGCAACCGTTGAAACGGATTAACCGCTATCAAGATATTTCCTGTGTAAGTCTAAAAAGGCAATGAACCAAAATTAGCCATCCAACAGGGTTTCATATCTCTATAACTTAATTGTGTCTTAAATGAAAATTTGAAAGCAATTTGACTCACATAGATTTCATTAAGTTCATATCTAGTTGCCAGATTCTCCAGAACTCCAGGCTCATGCAAATATGAAAGCTTTGTCATATCATCTACGCCCCCGGGAGGAGCTTCGGTATCCTTCGGGAACACCTTTGATGTGTCCGTGGCAACCTGCGCAAAGTTTGTTTTGCGAATCAAAATGAATTTAAGAAACTAACATGGGTAATCACGTCAAAACAATGCAAATCTATATGTAGTATTCTACAATATGCTACATGAAGAGACAAACATGTGAGAATATATTTAGCTTTCATGTTGACGATTGAGAAATGCTTACTGTGTTTCCATCTCTGGTATGAACATGAATCTCGGGGCCATTGACCCGCGTGACTTCTCCATCGATCCATGCCACATTAGGATTTTCAACCCATACATGAGAACCTACAACTATGTTACCAGGTGCTGCCTGAAAAATCAACCAATATCAAAATCAGGATGAACAATTTTAGTATTTTAAAAAAAATTGATCAAGGAAAGGTTTAGAACATTTTTTCTTTTCTTTTTTTTTTTCTTTTGAATATTAAATAAGCAAAATAATTTTGCATCATGATAGAGGTCCCACAATTGCCTTGCAAATACCAGTAAAACAAATTTCTGAGCAAGTGTGACTTCCTAATTTATTGTCAAAAAATTGTTTTTAGACTATTAAACTACTGTACCAAAATAGCTTCTTAAAGTGTTAACTTTTGAACACATTATCTGTTAGAAATGATCAGTTGGGAAAGTCAATAGTTGGGAAGCCCATTGACTGCTACAAAGTTTGACGAGTAACATTAATGCCACTATCACCAACAATACATCAAGTCCAAAGAAAATATAATAAATAAATATATAATAGTAGATCAATAGTTGGGATTTCTTTTTTACCTTTTTTCTTTTGAAAAAATAAAATAAATAAATAACTAATTTAAAACGCCTCATTGCATGTATAGTTTCCCAATATACAACAAAAAAATAAGAGACCCAGTTCCTCAAAACTCCAAAAAGGAAATTTAACAACCAAAATTTACACCTTTCTCCAAAAGTCTTCATCAAACGGGAAAATGAAAAAAAAAAATGAAAGGTGAAGAAACTAAAATTAAGCTTTGAATAATTACCATCGATGTCCTTCAACTCATCCAAAAGAAAAAATCTGCTCACCGAAACAACAACAACAACCACCAGAGTCGAAAGAAACAGGCCCAATAACAGAATCTCCAAACTCCCAAATTATATCAAATAAGAATCTAACAAAATGGCTCAAAACTTCCCTTCAACCAATGCCATTTATGTCTTATCATCCATAGAATATTCCCCAACACTTCTTTTTCTCTTCAAACATTGCCCCCACCATAATCTCTCTCTCTCTCTCTCTCTCGTAACTAAAAAGTCTCGATCATATCTCTCTTGTAACTAAAAAGTCTCGATCTTTTATAATTATATCTATACCAACCCCTATCTCTTTAAGATTTTTGTCCTTGTCCCTCAAGCTTTTGAGTTTTTTTGTTTCTCTCTCTCTCTCTCTCACCTCAAAGTTTCCAGCTTCTCTCTCTAGAAAAGCTCAGGGTGTCGTCTCGTCAGCTGGGGAAAGACAGTTTGGTGGGGACGATGACAATGGAGGTCTCTTGCACGGTGCTAATAACGCCCACAACTTTTTTTTTTTTTTCCTGAAACTCAAAAACGGACGCCATTGAAAATTGAAACTTTAAAAAAGCAAACAACCTTTCCTCTCCAATTACAGAATTACCCCATCCGCTAAAATTACAGAAGTACCCTTGCTCGAAGGAATTATATAATTATATTAGAAATAATAAAATAATAAATAACAATAAAAAGGAGATCATAAACTTTATTGACTGTAAATATTATCTATAAACTCCATTAAAAATTGTGTGTTTCTTGGCGATGATGAAAAGGCTATATAATGGTGTGTCTGTAAATTATTGACGTGACAGATGTTGTTTTGTAAGACAAAAGAAATGTCGCAAGCTTTACACGGCGGAACAGGTTTATCCGTCCATCTTGGCAAGATTTTGAAATATTATATTTTAAGGAGGGGCAGAAAAGGAACAAAGCCAGATTGAATGACATCATTAGCGTGTCTTTGCCATGAGTCTCGCCCAACATTAGACACACTTCAGGATCTTCGAGTCAAAAGCTTTCTGTCAATCTTTAACGTTTGACATGGATGTTGGACCTTTTAGGATTGATTTGTCTACCGGTCTCGTTCACTTCGCGAATTTGAGTTGAGATGTGATAATTTTTAAGAATTTTTTATTATAGAAGAAAAAGTTAGATGTGACATTTTCTGAGAATTTTTTTTTGTAGAAACCTAAAACTGAAAACTCAAATCGGTGAAATGAACGAGGCCAACTTGTCTTTCACCGATTAAAGAAGGGACTCTTTTATTTTACGATTTAAGTTTTTAATTTTAAGTTTGAGTTAAAAATTTTTAGAAAATTTTACATCTAAATTTTTATATTATAGTTAAAAGTTTTAAAAAAATGTAACATCTTAATTTGAATTGAAAACTCAAATATGTGTTGTTTTTAAGAGTGATGCAATCAAATGCACAAATTAAGGGCCTATTTAGGCTCCCGTTCATTTCACCAATTCGAGTTTTCAATTATAGTTTTGCTATAGTTAAAAGTTCTCACAAAACGTCACATCTAACTTTTTTTACTACAGTAAAAAATTCTTATATAAAATTACATCTCAACTCGAATTGAAAAATCGAATCCGCAAACTCAACGATGCCTTAGTATATGGGTTCAAATTAATGTTTAGACTATGATTTTCGATTATGATTTTTGAAATTTTAAATTTTTTTACAAGAGAACTCATATACCAAACATACACTAAAATATGTATCGTGAAGAAAAAAATGAAGAAAAGAATATAAGATCTGAAATTAACATTGATGCTGTGAAACGTCGAGGCTATATTTATTTCACAACTCAAGTTAAGAATTTGAGTTGTGTATGTGAGGAAAAAATACTATAATATAAAATGTTGAATTTAAATTTTTATTGAAGAAATACTAATCAAGTGAAATTCTTTTTTTTTTGTAAATATATCAATTTATAAAGAAAAAAATGCATGGCAATTGGTGTGTGTCTTACACTAAAAAAATAAATTGTTATTTGAATTGTGATTCGTGTTGTGAAAAAGAACGAGGTCTTGATAGAGTAGGAGGAATTCTTCTCTATGGATTTTGATTCTTTTGGTAATAATAAAGCATTCATTTTTTTTTTCCCAATCAAAGCATTCATATTTATTCTCTTTTGAAAACACGCATTCATATTTATTCCCTATTCATACTCCTATTTTTCTCTTTCTAAATCAAATAAAAAATAGCATAATTTAAAGATTAAAAAAAGACACAAAAACAATAAAATAAAAATAACATAATTTTAAGATGAAAAAAAGTACGCAGAATAAAGAAAGAGAAGGGAATATATTTCCTTTAAAATAAAATAAAAAAGTGTCCATGGGCTCACGGCTCTGCTTGCGATTTGGGTCACTCTTCATAGTGTCGTTGGGTTGGGCCTAAGTACTTCAACTGTACAGGGTGAGAGAGAAGGAGAGAGAGAATTTCCACTCCAACATGTCCTAAATACCTCCAATTAGGTATCCTTTTTAAAATGTCTCTTAATTTTTTAAAACAGGTCAAAACTGACATATGAAAACAGTTTAAAATGTCCTCTTCATCCACTTTCGCTTACAATTTTAATAAATTCACTGACGTAGCATGTTATTAAGGTTTACTAAGGGTAGTAAATTCTGATTGAATCTATAAAAATATGATTAAATATTAAAAAAAATAATAAATCATCTAATTATTTTTCCAAAAAAAAAAAGTCTTCTTCTCCTACCTCTCAAAGTGCATATAATGGCTGCCAAAATCATATCAAAACTCAATCATTTCAAAACAATAAAAGTAACATATCCAAATCCATCTCATTCAAAACTTTTAAAATAAAAACATAATTTTGTTAGGGAAAAACCAAATTTAAAAGAACAAAAAAAAAAAAAAAAACTCAACTCTGTAAAATCAACCCTGTCGGTCGCCGCCCCTCCAAGGCCTTTCGACCCCACTCTTGTACGACTCAGCCCCTGCCACCACGACCGCCATGCAACCTAAGCTGGATTGCCCTTATCCACACGCGAAACCGGACCTCTCTGTAGCCCTAACTTGCACTTCCTCTTTGCGCCAACCCAGATCATGAATCCCTCTTATTTGCCTTCATTTTTGTCGAGCTTACACAGGGTGCTTCAATGGAGATTTGGGTTTGAAGATTTAGGTAAAGTTTGGTCCATAGATTCAGAATCATAATTCATGATTCTGATTTTTAAAATTTAAATTTTTTATGAGAGAAAAACACTATAGAGAACTATGAACCATAATTCAAAACTAGGGACAAATACATGAAACAAACATCCCCTCAGGGATTATAAGGTTAGAGTTTTGGAGGGTTGAGACTAAATCGCTATGTATACAAATATGTCTTAGTAAGATTGAATCTGAATTTAGTTTTCCTAAAAAAAATTGAATTTGGTGATTTAATCGTGACGATGATGTTTGGATTATTTGGTTTGAAACATAAATTGAAGGTAATTTGCGATAGAGAAGAGGAAGAGAGAGAAGAGGAAAGGAGATAGAGTAATATTTTTAATGAAAATAATTCTTTTTTATTGTTATTTTTAATATTTAATTATTTATATATATAATTAGAGTAATGGAATTAATTAATTTTTTATTCATGTTGCCAGTAAATCATTTGTTAATGACTTTAATTAATCCTTAAAAACATTGCCACATCAATAACTCTATTAAGAGTATAAACGGAATTAGAACGGGTGTTATGACTGTTTTTTATGTATCAAGGGGTATTGTGACCTCTTTTAATACTGTTAAGAGTATAAATGGAATTAGAAGGGGTGTTTTGACTGTTTTTTATGTATCAAGAGGCATTTTGACCTCTTTTAAAAAATTGAGAGGCATTTTGAACATAGTACATAATTGAGGGCTATTTATGAAAATAATCCAATTCCTTTTCTTTTACATAAAAACCATGAAGCCCCCCCTTACACGTCTCCTTAAACCTCCCTTGTACCAATCGAACCTCCGAGTCCCAGATCTCCCCAATCACACACACTCACTCTCTCTCTCTCTCTCTCTCTCTCCAATGGCGGCCTCCTCCTCCATCTTCCAACCCCACCGGCTCTCCCTCAAACCCCAATCCCCCACCAAACCTCATTCCCGTTTCTCCACCATCGGAGCCCATTCCCAACCCAACTCACCACCACCACCACCACTTTCCTCCTCAAAACCGCGCCGTCCCGCCGACGAGAACATCCGCGATGAGGCCCGCCGCCACAACACCACCCACTCCCACCACTTCTCCGCCAAGTACGTCCCTTTCGGCTCCGACCCCTCCGAACCCGACGCCGAGTCCTACTCCCTCGACGAGATCGTATACCGCTCCCAATCCGGCGGCCTCCTCGACGTCCAACACGACCTCGACGCCCTCAAGAACTACGATGGCGCGTACTGGCGCGACCTCTTTGACTCGCGCGTGGGCAAGACCACGTGGCCCTACGGATCCGGCGTCTGGAGCAAGAAGGAGTGGGTGTTGCCGGAGATCGACAGCGACGACATCGTCAGCGCCTTCGAGGGGAACTCGAACCTCTTCTGGGCCGAGCGTTTCGGCAAACAGTTTCTCGGCATGAACGATCTATGGGTCAAGCACTGCGGGAATAGCCATACCGGGAGTTTCAAGGATTTGGGGATGACCGTTCTCGTCAGCCAAGTGAATCGTCTCCGAAGAATGAACCGCCCTGTTGTCGGCGTCGGCTGTGCTTCCACCGGAGACACCTCCGCCGCCTTATCGGCCTATTGCGCCGCGGCCGGGATCCCTTCCATCGTGTTCCTTCCCGCAAATCGGATTTCCATCGCCCAATTGGTCCAGCCCATCGCCAATGGCGCCTTTGTGCTCAGCATTGATACCGATTTCGACGGGTGTATGCAATTGATCAGAGAAGTGACGGCCGAGCTGCCGATTTATCTCGCGAATTCGCTAAACAGTTTGAGGCTTGAAGGGCAGAAAACAGCAGCCATTGAAATTCTTCAACAGTTTGATTGGCAAGTGCCTGATTGGGTTATAGTCCCAGGAGGAAACCTCGGAAACATCTATGCTTTCTATAAAGGTTTCCACATGTGTAAGGAATTAGGACTAGTTGATCGAATTCCGAGACTTGTTTGTGCTCAAGCTGCCAATGCCAATCCTTTGTACTTGCATTACAACTCAGGGTGGAAAGAGTTCAAGCCCGTCAAGGCCAACACCACGTTTGCCTCCGCCATTCAAATAGGCGACCCGGTTTCAATAGACCGGGCGGTTTACGCGCTCAAGAACTCGAACGGGATTGTGGAGGAGGCGACGGAGGAGGAGTTGATGGATGCCACGGGGCAGGCGGACTCCACTGGCATGTTCATATGCCCTCACACTGGGGTTGCATTGACGGCTCTTCTTAAGCTGAGGAACAGTGGGGTGATTAAGCCGACTGATAGGACTGTGGTGGTGAGCACGGCTCACGGGCTGAAATTTACGCAGTCGAAAATCGATTATCACTCCAAGGAGATCAAGGACATGGCTTGCCGGTTTGCCAACCCGCCTGTGAGTGTTAAGGCGGATTTTGGGTCTGTCATGGATGTTTTGAAGAAGTATTTGTTGAGCAAGGCTCATTAGGTTAGGCTCTCTTGTGGCCATTTATTTGGTTTATGGTCATGTTATCTTGTTGTGATTTTAATTGGGCATTGTTATTTTTGTTGTCAGTGTGTAGGAGAGGAACTGGTTGGTTAGTTTGTGGTATCTAGAATTCAGTTGAGAAATGCACCTTTATTTATAGGCAGCAATTCCCTTTTTTAAGAAAGAATCTATTATTTCAATTCGACTGGAAAATTTTTTTAGACGAACTTTGTGCTTCTACTTGTAAACTTGCTATCTGCATGCTGAAAGTTTATGACTTTTTTTTTTCTCGTCTTTTTTCTTTCATTAAAGTTTTTAAGTTGTTTTTCTGATTTCCAATACGTTTTAAAAAAGGCGTGCAGGTTTGTCCTTTTGGTCATAAATGGATTTTGAATTATGAGTTGGTAACAACGGAGAAAAGGATTTTTGTTTGATAAGTTCCAATGCTGGGCAACCATACTCTTGGTCATATCCGTTAAAACATGAACCAGAGAAACAACATCCCAAAAACAAAGGAAAACAACAAACCTGAAGGAAAAGAAAACCTAACCTAAAGCCAGACCTCAAACATAGACCAAGAATCTGCAGGCACTGCTGACCATTCAAGAGAGCTTTACCAACTTTATTCACCAATGCCGACGTCCCAACTCATGAGCTACTAGAACATTGCAGCGTCTAGGAACAAAGCTCCATTTTATTCTAGTTCTTACCAATAAATCAAAGCTCCCAGTTTTAAAGAGAGAGGTGGCTGCAGATATAATCTAGTGCTAATTTTACATTTGACTCCACTATAAGGTGAAGAATTCAAATTTTTGACCCCAAATTCAAATAAATAAAAAAAGGGAAGACAGAGAGAGAAACAAAGAGCTAATTGGCCTACTCTTTTTTTTTTTTTTTCCCTGACATGTCATGGGTATACTGGTCGACTGTTGTTCACTTTAAAACCAAAAGGTCCAAAATGGTTAGTTGGTTACCTTTGCAGAGATGGTATTCTTGCTTTAGTAATTGTTACACCACGGTCGAGGGATCGACCGTTCCTTTAAGTGACAAGCGCCGAGGCCTCTCCGTTAATGATCGGTCACTGATGTCGAGGGAAACAGCGAGGGTGCCCTCTAGACGTCGAGAATTCGCCTATGCTAACGCGCGTCGAGAGCCCCGCCCAGGTGGCGAGGGCCACAACGGCGCGACAGCAGCCTGGTCAAATCCGCTGTCAGTTCAGGAAAAGATGCACTGTATCAACTACCGCCACTGTTGAAGTCAGGAAATCAGGTATTGGGTAAGAGTAGTTAGCCTGACCGGAAAGTAGTAATCATAGAAATGCAGCTGCCAAATCCCCAAATTAAGGGATAGAGGATGATCTCCTCGGAAAATGCATGGGGTTTCTTATATGTACAAGGCCTATAAATAGAGCAATGGGAATTGATTAAGCTTCTTCTTCTTTTTTACGCTCACTTCAAAACTACTACAGAAAGCTTATAATCTACAACATATTAGGGCATACACAAGTAGATTAGACAAAAAAATGTAGCCGAACCACTATAAACTTTTGTCTCCTTTGTTTTATTTAGCATCATTAATGCTTAATTAATACGTGAGAGATTATTACGAGCATTCTTGGAGAATTAATTCTTTGTTGACTGAAACCCACCATCAACAGTAATTATTAAAATAAAAAAAAGGCCCGACGAAATTGCAATATATCATTGGTCTGAGGCATTTCCTAATTCCAAAACGAAAATCATCTCGAGAAGTTGGCAATTTTATTATTTATTTGACCAAACTCCCTGTGACCCGTAACATAAATTACTCAATCAGGGCAAAAGCCTAGGCATCTATTGTCTGATAGTGTCTCAATTTCTTGAACTTTGTTGATGAGGCTGAAGCATTTTTTATTAACCAAAGCGCAGAGCAACAAGCAAAGGACAATTTCTTAAAGAGCAAGTCAAACGAATATCTTTTAATCAAAGGAAATATTATTGCATCTTGGAATATATATTTTGCTTATCCGACATTCTTTCAATTATGTATCAAACAAACTACATGCAAAACACGTTATGATCTGTCCTATGAGCATTAAATGTAAACAACGTCAACTAAGCAGCCCACGAAGAGGTCACAACCTGGTTTTATTGCGTTAAGCAAAACTAGACAGGTCAAATCAAGACAATAAACCAAACCAATTCATGGATCTTGTCTTTCTTTCAATTATAAATACACATCCACAAGAAATTTGCATAAAAACAGCTAAATACAAAAAATTGAAATACAAAGAATACCGATTCTTCCATCTTCTACTAAAAACATGTAACAATATATCCCATGCTTAATACAGACCCTCCCAAATCAGACTTATCAAAAAGTCCAAACTCCCAATGCAAAACCACATAGCACATTCTCCAGTTCCCCAAAAAATCAAAGTATAAACAATGAAAAATGATTTGGTATCCCAACCACATTTTAAAAAAAGAAAAAAGAAAAAAAAGTAAAGTAAATATATATCCCTATCACATTTATAAAATAAAATAAGGAAAAAAAAAAAAAAAAAAAACAACTCTTGTGAAAGTATCTACAACGAACTTCCTGCGTATGTATGTCAGCACAAACTCCAATCAACAACTCTATCTCAAAATGTGCAAACGGGCTTTTTTTTTTTTGAGAATTTTAAAGATAAACGTACTGCCTTCAACTTTGAGCTCAGCCCGTCTACTGTTCGCGGCCCAAGTTTGCTTCCAGGCCCAACCTGGACTTCCCTCTGTCCCTCTCTTTGATGGAATTCTCCTTCTCCAAGATGAGACCAGCTCTGAACCTGGCGATGAAGTTATCGGCCTTCGTGTCGACGTCGGGGCTCGGACAGAACATCCTCGCCGGCGACATTCCTCCCTCCGTCACTGCCAACGGACTCGCTCCTCCGACCGGCGAATCCTCACAGCCGTCCAACTCCGGCGAGCCGCTTCGCGAGCTGTTGTCGCTCTTGATTCTCACGAAATCGCCGTGCCTCACGAACCTCCATTCCTGAAACCTAAACGGCGGCGGAGGCGGCGGTGGCGGTATTGGAATCAACGGCGACTCACTTCCGATCTTCGTGTTCTCTTCGACGCTGTCGACATTGCTCGTGTGGACCGGCAATGAAGGTTTCTGAGTCACCGGAATCGGCCTGCTCTGAGCTTTGCTCTTCGAAACGCGAACGGATGGAGGCGGAGGCGGCGGCGGTGGAGGCGATGAAGGAGATTGCGAAAATGAGTGAACTTTTTTGGTTTTTCCTTTCTTAGAGGAAAACAGAGTGTGGAAGACGGACGGCGGAGGTGGCAGCGGCGGCGGCGGAGGTGGATACGAAGGCAAATAAGGAGGATCAATGGACGCGAGGAAGGAATCGGAGAGTTCGACGCTCTTTTGTCTCTGCTTCTCCTTCTTAGGAATTCCTTAGTGGCGTTCCCTCTCCTTTTCTCTTGACTTTTGCCACTACTCTTTTTCTCTGTTTCTTCATACACCGGCACCGGGGGCGGCGGCGGCGGCGGCGGAGGAGGAGGAGGCCGTGCAGGTGGTGGCTTGTAATAGTTGACCTTATAAAAATCGTTGCTTTCAGGGCTTTGATCTCTACTCTCTTCCTTCCGCTTCGGTTTACGCCTAATCTCCTCCTCCTCCTTTGGCGGCGACGGAGGCGGAGGTAGTGGAGGTGACGGCGGTGGCAGCGGAGCAGAAGGTTGAGAATCTTCTTTCGCACGGACTTCAAAAGTGTCAACTTCTATGTTCTTTGTTTGCAATTGAATTTCCTCTTCAGGTTCATTCCATGGCCGGCGACGGTACTGGAGTTGATGATGATGTTGATCGGAATCAGACGGGCGGTAATTCGCCACGTGCGTATCATCGTAGAACCGCCATTGTTCGTCCCTGCTCACCCACGAAGATTCCTGCCGTAGATCCGGGTACGAACTGCTGCTTCTCATCCTTCTGTAAATTCTAGAATTAAACGAATCCGATTGCGTCCGATCTGAATACTCATACCATTGATGCGGAGTTGATGGGTTTGACTTTTGACCACCCTCATTTGAGACCCTTTGATCGTCATGATTAGAACTCGTGTTCTCGGTGCTGTTTCTGCTGAGAAACCCGCAAACAATGGCGAAGAGAACCAGAACGAGATTAAGAGAGTCCCAGCTCTTCTTGACCGAATGGGGTCTGAATATTTGAGAAGTGAAGGAAAGAAATGACGGGATTATAACGAAAATGAATGCGAGAGCTGTGACGATCAAAGCTATGAGAACAGCGCCGGAGTTGAAGAGGAGGGAGGAGGAGCGGCTCAGCCGTCGCCGGCGATGGTCGGCTCGCCGGATAGAGTCTGAGGACTGTGGCCAAAAGGGTGTAAGAGAGTTCTCTTGATCTCCTTCCATTGTTTGTCGTTTTTCTTTTCTTGCTTTTTTGAAAATTGAGGGAGGGGAAATGAAAAAGAGAAATCAATCAAAGCTTTTTGGCGACACTTTTGGGTTTTGTTGCTCTTTTGCTTTCTTAGGTTTCGTGTGTTCGTACGCTGCTTCGCTTTGCTACGCTACGATGGTTTTGGTTTGGTTTAATTTTTTTTTTAATATATACTTTGCTTATAATGAGGAAGCATGTTGTAATAAAAAATGTGAACGTAGGAAAAGTGCTTTGTGTAGTGAAAAAAAAAAATGATTATTCTCATGATGTGGGGTCAACAGTAGTTCATCTCTTTCCCCATTGAATAAGGAAAAAGACAGAGTATGCGCGTCACATGCCACATTTTTGCCTGTCATGGCTAGAATGACAGCCAAATTGTACGTTGAATAATTGTTGTAAACCATGTGCACATTTTTCATTTTCTTCAACTTTAAGCGTTTGAATTAAGTAGTTGATCAACCGAGTTTGATTGCAATAACAAAGTGGCTGCATTTAGGTTTCAATTCAGATATGGTATTAAAAATTGAACGTTCTCTGATGAATGAGGCACGTCTTTTTCAATCAAAGTTCAAACACACGTTTCATTTAAGCAATTATTATTTTCAATAAATATGTTTTTAAATCGATCTCCAATTATTTGTTTGTTGTTATATCCAAATAAACTAGGTAGCTAAAACAATCATGCGTCATTTTGCTATAGATTGGGATCACACACACAAAAAACAAAAAAAAAAAAAGGTCATGGTCAAACGTTCCGCGCAGAGCCATAAAATTTAACTAAACCCTCATGATTTAATAAATTATAAGGGAAAAAATGAACATAACAAAATGAAATAATTTTCTAGATAATTTTGAGTCGCTGGCTCGTTTAGTTCGTTGATTCGAGTTGAGATGTGATTTTATGTGAGAACTTTTTACTGTAATAAAAAAGTTAAATATGACTGTTTCTAAAATTTTTTTACTATAATAAAACTCGAATTGATGAAATAAACAGAGTCTTTAAGGCGTAAAAATAGTATAATATACAAGGACAAGTACAGAAGTTTGGTATATCCTGATTAATATTATACAAAACGCGTCATTCCAATCTGTTGTGTCTTTATCATCTCCTAGTTCTCTTCTTTCCCCCCAAAAGCTACCTTTGTTTATATTGGAATACAGTGTATAATGCTTTGGCTGCAAACATTAGTGTTCGACAAAAAAAAACAAAAAACTTTGTTTATATTGAGGGGAAAAAAAAGAGACAGAGAGAGAGAACGTTGTCTGTCTTACAACTTAGAAGAGAAAAATCTCAACTGTATATTCACTAGTAGATTTCATAATCGAGTGAACTACAGCTAGCAGGTCTTATTGTTCACACTTTGTCAACCTTGACAAACTCTTTTTTTTTTTTTTCTCTCTCTCTCTCTCAAGCAAAAGAGAAAAAAAGACAAAATAAAAAAATAAAAAAATAAAAAAATGTCTTGTATAAAGATGACAGATAAGTAGCTAAAAATGGCAACATCATGCTTTTAGGTCATCTAATACATTTCACAAATTAAGGAGAGAATTTAGGACACGACACCTTTGTAGTTCCTTCAAAGTTAGTGTCAGTGCAACAATTTGTTTTGCCAGTCTGGGATTTCAAGTTCACGTGAGTTGTGAGTACTTAATTCAGCCCATTTCATGAAAGCCGTTGATCAACATTTATACATCACTAGAATAGCAGTAAGAATCTTTTTTTTAGTGAGTTTTTGGAAGTATATATACGAGCTTATTCCACCAAGATTAATCAGAGTTTATTGGGTTGTTCTTTTGCAATAAAATATTTAAACTTAAGTTACAACTTTATTTAAGTTCACGTTCTTTTAAATTTTAACTTTATTTAACTTTACTCAACTTTATTCAAGTTACAACTTCAACTAAAGTTATAACTCAAATTCAACTCAAAAATTACACTCAAGTTACATTACAAAAGAACATGCCGAAATGCGGATTCTTAGCCTTATTCAAGTGGTGATCCATGTTTTTATAATTTGTTTCTGTTTAAAACGTCCAACATTTGACACATGAAGTGGGTTTGAAAATCAATGGTATCATATCACCAGAACATTGGAAAAGCAAGAAACTTCATATACAATTGTTATGGTTGTTTCTGCAATTTAAAACTTCTAGAACTAGAAGGCCTCGCTCATTTCGCGGATTCGAGTTTTCAATTCGAGCTGAGATGTGACATTTTCTGATAGCTTTTCACTGTAGCAGAAAAAGTTAGATGTGATATTTTTTAAGAGCCTTTTACTATAAAAATCTAAAATTGAAAACTTAAATCGGTGAAATAAACGAGATCTTCAATTACCTATTATTCACGAATTTCAATGCCTTGAGACTTTGGCAAGGAAAGGAAAACCCTTTTGTGTCAAGCACAAAGAGATTGGGCCCTACACGGCGGGACTCACGTGAACACCACAGTGAGGTCTTTTTTGGTGTTTGATAGGGATAAAATCTCCATCATAGAGGTGCTGGCAAGGAAAGTGTTACAATTTGCACATATAATGCTAAGTTATAATGCCTAACAATTTCATGTAGTTGTAGGTATAAGTTTAGTCGGTGGCCAAAGAGGGGGGGAAAAAAATGTTCAGGTACAGTGGCTGATTAGGTATATATTTTATATGCGCCTTATCTTGAAAATCATTAAACTCTTTATAACCAACAAAAAGCACGTCACCTAGTCCGTTTCAATATTCCTTTGTCTAAAAAAGTGAGAAAGCATCAACTTTAGCAGAAAGCTGGGGAAAAGATTACACTCCAATGGGGAGCTCCGCTAGGCTAAATATTAGCTAAAAAACTGATATCAAGGCAGATTGGAGGATGAGAAAATCTCAAAAATTCCAGCACAAGACCGCTCGGCATTGTAGGTGGATTGGAGGCGGTTGGGGCGGGTGGTTTGGCAAGCGGGTGAACATTTTTGGACCAATTTCGAGACAAAACTAGTATTGCAGTAATTGGGGGGGTTGGCAAGCGGGGGAACATTTTTGGACCAATTTCGAGACAAAACTAGTATTGCAGTAATTGGGAAAATGACCCACTTGCTAGTTGTTCTGTTATTAGAAAAGTTCGTTGGTAGTTCTAGTGTGAGTGATTCTTATGCTACTAAATTTCTAAATTCTAAGAATATGCTAAAGAATGAACATTGTATCATATGATAATGAAGCACAAAAGAACTTATCAGGAAAAAAAAAATGAAGCACAAAATAAGAGGTCTTCTTTGGTGAGACATAAAGCACCACTTTCTACCACATGCCAAATTTAAAAAGCAAATATTTTAATATCCAGTCCAACTTCCTTCACACTTCCAGCCAACCAAAAAAAAAAAAAAAAAAAAAAGAGGCTTCCTTGTCACAATCAATTTTCTCTCAGTTTCATACCAATTTCAATTCTCATAGAAAGATCCTTACATCTTTCTTTGTTTCTTCACAACATAGAATATTGCTAGCTTGCCAAATTTAAACAGACCATAAACTTATTTAAAGGCTCTAATGATTGCTGCCAAAAGATGCTTAAACAACCACTCTTCCTACTGCGTCCCAAATACGCGTCGAGGTAAATTCTTCTGCGACCTAATTTGTAAACAACTCTACTCTACTTTCATATCCAAACTGCCATATATGTATATTCTGTAATTTCTGCTCCTAGCTAATGGGAACTAAGGGATGATACTTACTACTTATCCACAATAACTTCAAGAACCGGTTAACTTTCAGATAAGAAACACTCTGGAACAAATACTTCTTTCACGGGCCAGGTAAAATTCATGTCCAGGAACCGCTAGCTTAAGGTTTGAAGAGAAGGCTGAAATGTGTAACAATTGAGGTGGCTTCATATTTACAATGATTGGAAAAGAATAACAGCAACCGTAATGAACATGGTAGTTGTACAAATCAAAGCCTGCAACAATCGCAAGATATCCAGTTAATCCAAGGAGAGAAAGGAAACATATCCTTTATCGTAACCTGTCACAGTTCTATTATGATTTCCGCAGGCACCAATAACAATGCAGGTTAAAATGACGATGAGATATAGCAAATTATGAGTATTTGACAAAGCAAAAGTCTTTTGTCTTTTCATCTAGCTGTGACTAGTAAGAAATAATAGAAATATAATTACTAGCAAAACGTATGCTAAATAGACTTGGGATGCTACACAGTCAGTTGATAATCAGAGAACAAATGGAGCTAATTGTTGAGGCCAACACTTACAGCTATCGCTGCAGCTGCGAGTCCGGCTCTCTCTCTTGGGTCTTTGCGATAATAGTTACCAAAGTAGAGGAATGTCGCATAGTACCACATCAACGGGAAAACAAATCCAAGTAGAAAACTGCAAAAGATGAGAGTGAGAAGAGACGAGGGTGCGTTCACATGTCAGCGAGGAGAGAAAAAAGAGTGGGGATAAGGAAACTCACGAAAACCATCCAATTCCACAACCAAAACAAGGAAGAGGTTTGTCAAACATGCCCAGCTGTGGATCTTCCGCATCTTGTATCCTAGTATACTCGCCGTTTCTATGCTCCACTACATCTGTTGAAATCCCTGAAGTTGAAAAAGACCACCTTCAAAGAATAAGTATTTTGGACCACCACCAAATCAAAACCAAGTCTACTAACTATTATAAACAAACATTACACCAGGCAGTAAAAATTCTAGAAGAGGCTAGCTAGTCTCAATTTCCAAAGACAAGTCAGGCATCGGTTTTCACTCAATAGTTCGGAATGAGAGTTCAAAATATTAAGGACATCTCAGTTCTGGTAGTCCTCCAAGGAACTGACAAGAAGGAAGTTAATTAATTTGACGATATTTACTTTTTGATGTCGGAGTCATATCATTGAATTTGCAGGCAGGTTATCCACAACTAATGTCACACCTCAACATAAATAAATAAGTGAACAGAATCCCACACAAGAAGGTTTAACAAAAAGTTAAATTCAAAAATCATTCACAAACATATAAAAGGCACCAACAATTGGACCACACAAACAGGTGAGATTGCAGAGTGCGTCTGAGATTTTCAAAATTGGCTATACTTTAAAGAACACCATTCCATGAAAACTGAAAAATAAAGGGAATTTAAAAGAGCGCCAAAGAAGTTGAATACTCTGATCCATGTATCCAAGAGACAAAATTGTGTATTAGTATCCTCAGCTTCCCTTTCTGCTTCCAAAGCAACTGCTAGAAGAAGAAAAAAAAATTGTTTTTAAGATGATGTGGGAAAAAAAATCTGAAAGCAACATAAATATTTGCTAGCCAAAAAAGGAAAGAAGCCAATTCCTCTAGTGTTGCTGAGGGCTGATGAACATACTATGACCGTCAGTTAAAACATGCAAAGAGAATGAGGTGCTCAAGCCCAAAATTCAGGTGTTCCACATAGGAGACAAGAAACAAAAGGTTAAAAAAAAAAAAAAAAATCAGTTTTATATCTGCAAACAATCACAGCTTCCCAAGAGAAGTATTAACTTGAGAATCAAATCAACTTCGTGGCAAACCATAACAAAATCGAATTCAAGTTGCTTAAAAGCAAATTAAATAACAAGTGAAGATAATCATAACAGAAAAAAAAGGGGCCCGCAATATCTTGCCTCTCAACTTTAAATTTAAAACCCAAAATAGTTTGTGCAGTGATACATACACAAATAGAGAGAGATTTCTCTATTAGGCTTCAAAATACCTTTTGTTTTTATTATTATTAACCAACAGACCCCTAAAATCCCTCCTTCTACGCAAAAAAAAAAAAAAAAAAGGAATCAATCGAATGAATTAGCAAAACCCATAACAAAGCAAAGCTGCATTCACATTCAAACCTAAAATTAAGAAAAAAAATACTGGGTCTGGGGATTTGGGAAAGTTTTTCCCAATGTTGCCTCCAAAATATGACAAATCAACCATGCAGAGAAGGAAACGGATCATCTTCCGATTTCCGATCGTTGCGATAGCGGGGAAAAAAAAATCAAAGACTGGTAAGGAAAAAGGGAGTTCGTAAGTTGGGGATAATAAAAAGTTTTGAACTTTATCTTTTTCAGTCACAGAAACGAAGAGCTGAATCTATCAGAACAAAAGGAGGTAAATGAAAAAAAAAAAAAAAAAAAAAAAAAAATTAACAAAAGTTAACCAGGAAAAAAAAGAGAAAAAAGTTACCTCTTTAGCATTCCAAAGTGTCCAAGGGCTTGACGAGAAACTGACGAGTGATGAACACAATCGCCGGCTACAAGTAGAGCCTAGTTCTGTGTCTAGTTTTCTACTGCGTGTTTGACACAAAAATTCATTTCATGAATTATAATTCGTCATTAATTATAATTTTAAAAAAAAATATATAAATTAAAAATAATTTTAAATTATAATTCTGAATTTATAAATTAAATAAAAAGATAAAAGGCTTGTTCTTTTGAGTGAAAAACTAAAAAAAATGTAATTCGAGTTACAATTTTATTCGAGTTCATGTTCTTTTAAGTTTAAACTCGAGTTTAAACTCGAGTTCAAACTCGAGTTTAGGACTAAAACTTTCACCGATTCGAGTTTAGAATTCGAGTTTTGCTACAGTAAAAAGTTCTCATAAACAGTCACATCTAACTTTTTTGCTACAGTAAAAAGCTCTCACATAAAATCACATCTCAACTCGAATCAGTGAAGTGAACGGGCCCTTCCCATCCAACTCGAGTTCAGAAACTCGAACTCAAATTAATGAATAATATTTTTTCTATTCTTAAAAATGCTATAACTTTTTCGTTTTAATTCTGATTGAGATGATTTTTTTTTCTATGCGTTGACAACGAAAAGACGAATAAAACCTGATCCATATACCCTATTATAATTTTTCATCAACATAGAGTTTTTATTAAAATACTAACTAAATACGAATTCAAGTTTTGACTCACTCAAATACAAACTCAAAAAGATTCTTATCTCAAATCATAACTTAAATGTACACAACCAAACACAAACTCAAGTTACAAGTTCAACTCAAGTTATAACTCAAATTCAACTCAAGAATTATACTCAAGTTAAACTTCAAAAGAACAAGCCCAAAATTAACACCCAACCAGAGCCGTATGATTTTAATTTTTTAATTTTTAATTTTTAATTTTTTAATTTTTTTTTTTGTGGAACTGGAAGGGATCTACTCGCTAGATACAATTAAGATTCCTTTTTTTCACCAAAAAAATATTCCTTTTAGTTAATGTACCTTTTTATTTATTTATTTTTCCTTTCAGTTCATGTACTTGATTATTCTTCTTTTTTTTTCCTCTCTTTCTTAAACTTTTTTTCTTTTTCTCATTCCCGTTATTTATATTTTTCTTCTTTTTTTACACATTGTCTCTTTTAATTTTTCTTCTGATATTCCTTAATTTTCTATTTACTTTTTTAATTAAAATAATTCTTTTTAAATATGTTTTTTATCAAAATTTTTTATATAACTTTAATTCTTTCTTTCTTTTTTTTTAGAACTTTTTCTCAATTATTTTTTTAATTTTTACTTATTTTCTTTTCCTCATTGACCTTTTTTCTTTTATTTTTCTCTGGCATTTGTTGACTGTTACATTTTCTTTACAATATCGTTTTTTACAATATCCCTTTTTAAAATACATAATTGTTAAGAGTTGAATAAAAAAGTCATTCATAACTTTAATTTTTTTCGATATTATTTTTTTAAAACATTTTTCCTATTGTTTCAATTAATAGACTAACTTCTAAAGAGGCTACATATTTTGACGCGAAATTAAACTTACAAAATTATTCCTCACGTGCATAATATCGGCTCAAATAGTCAATTAAAGAGATGGCATCAGTATAAATTATTCCTCACGTGCATAATATCGGCTCAAATAGTCAATTAAAGAGATGGCATCAATATAAAAAGTTATGATAGCAAATAAAACGAAAATAGAGAGAATGACAATATATAATAAAATGATAGGAATTCAGAGAACGAAAACTACACGAAATGACATCAACGAAAAATGACAATACCGCAACATAAAAGGATGGATAAACTTTATTTTTGCCCCCCCCCCCCCCCCCCCCCAACTTTGAAACGTTAGTCACTTTGCTCTTTATGTTTATTTGACTAACAGGTTTGACGGCGTGATAATTATTGGATGGGTAGTATAATGAATTATTTGCATAAATACACCCTGAAATATGTATCATATTTCAAAATGCTCCATGGTCTACTAAAACACATCAAAATGTCTATAATCTATAGAAAACATAATAAAATAACAATTTTATTGATATGACATGTCATTAAAAATTAATTAGACATTAAATTCTAAATGAATCAATAAAAATGATTAAATACTAAATAATAATAATAATAAATATAAAAGGCTTCGCTTCAAAAAATTTAAAAGTTTTAAAAATATTTTTTCAATAATCAAAACTCAGAAGAAAAGAAGAATTTTTGTTTTTGAAAAACCTTATCTTTTTCATGTCTGAAAGTGCATATCAAAACACTTATTTTTCCTTAAAATGATTTTTTTATTATTTTTGAATTGTCTTTCGGGGTTTTCAATTTTTTATAAATTAGTTGATATAGAATGTTACTAAAAATTCAAAAAATCCAAAAGACAAGTAAAAAATATCAAAAAAATAATAATAAAAATAAAAACTTCTTCCTCTTCAAACATCGAAAAACCTTCTTTCTCTTTAAGTGAAAAAATTTGTTTTAATGTGCACTTCTAGAGCTGAAGAGGATGAAGGTTTTTCAATTTTTTTCTATTTTCTTTTGGGGTTTTTAATTTTTTTAATTTTTTGAAGTGAAGCATTTTAACATTTTTATATTTTCAATATTTACTTCTAATGATTCAATTACAATTTAATGTCTAATTTATTTGTAATGACGTGCCACATAAGTAAAACTGTTATTTTATTATGTTTTTTAAATATTAAGAGTATTTTGATGTGTTTTGATATATTATGGGACATTTGAAATATAATACATACTTTAGAGGAAATTTACATAAATAGTTCATTAAACTATCCATCTAATAATTGTCATGTCATCAAATCCTTTAGTCAAATAAATAGAATGGCAAAGTGACTAATGTTTTAAAGTTCATGGGGTGCGCAGACTAATTTTTAAAGTTCAGGGGATAAATTGATAAAGAGACCAAAGTTCAGGAGTAAAAATAAAATTTATCATGCGTTTGGTTAGTGTATTCGTGTCATGATTCGAATTATGGTTCGTTATTCGTTACAGTATTTTCTCACATAAAAAACACACATAAATTAAAAATAGTTATGAATCTATGAATCAAACGTTAATCTTAAAAGAGAGAAACGTTCGTCAAAAAAAAAAAAAAAATATTAATGATGACCTGTGAAAACGACGACTCACGAAATTACAAGTGCCTAAACCAACAAGAAAGTAGGGAAGCGACAATTACTTGCAAATGAGAGAGTAAGGCCCCGTTTACTTCGCTGATTCGAGTTTAGAATTCGAGTTTTTTTACAGTAAAAAGCTCTCACAAACAATCACATCTAACTTTTTTGCTACAGTAAAAAGCTCTCATATAAAATTACATCTCAACTCAAATTAGCGAAGTGAAAACCCACGATACACCACCGGAAACGATATCATCAGTAAAAAACAATATAAATATTAAATGTAAGGCGAGAAATATTAACGCTTTCCTGATAAAACAACGACGACAATGAAATATATCAACGTAGAAAGCAACGGTAAAAATTTTAAACAAAATATATCATTCAGGCAACCACAACAGTGCAAAACGTCAAAAGAAAAAAAAAAAGAAAAAAGGGAAACATCAATGACCTGAAAAAATATCAGTGGCAGTAAAAGACAACCATAGAAGAGGATGATAACAACTAAAACGACAACAATGGAAAACAACCATAAGTGGAATTGTTAAGGAAGCAACATGTCAACAATGGCCTGAAAAACGACAAGAACATAAGAAAGCTACATGAATTTACGAGGAAAAAAAATGACCTAAAAAAAGGACAGCTAAAAAAAAGAATGTTGACGCGCAGAAAAACAAAAAACGACGAATAAAACCATAACTGCAGAATACGAAGACGATGTTGAAACGAGCGTGATGGGAGAGGCAAGTAAACAAGACAACCATGACCTGAAGAAAACGACATGCTAGAATTTAACAATATTAAAGTAAAAACAACAATGACATCCGAAACAACATTATCCAAAACGACATTATTCAAAAAACGACAGCGATGGAAACGCAACAACGACAATAAATGATTTCAAGATAGAAAACGACTAGGACAACTAAAACGATATTAATGAAGACAACAGCCGTGTACGACAATACTGGGGGAAAAAGGACCTTACCTGAAAAATGGCAACGACAAGGTGCAGGTCCTGTAGAACATCAAGAAAGAAGAGGGCAACAATAACAAAAACGACATGATTAGAAAATAACAGAACTGAAAAGTAAAGAAACGACACAATACTCTCTCCAGATGGTAGAGAACGTTGACAAAAAGAAATTTCACCCTCTTTTTATCTACACCATCCGATTCTCCAAATCTCCATCGAACGGTCACAGAATCACCCACCACTGAACTCCAAAACCGTACATATCCAAACAGGGTTTAAAAGGGTTTTTGGGCTTCGCCGGAATCCAAGTTTACCGCCACCACCATCAACGGCCAAACGCCACCCAACAAAACCAAAAATCTTCAAAACTCTCTCTCTATCCTCGGTTATGGATTCCGACGCCGAAGACTCCCGATCGAGGCAAAACCTAGAAACAGAAACCCCCAGAAAACGCTCAGAACCGTCATCGACTTCGATCGCCGAGAAGAAGAGCAAGAAGAAGAGGAAGAATAAAGTCGAAGCCACCATCCAAGTGGTCCAAAACCAGCCGGAGAGGGCCCCACCACTGGTGGGGTATTTCCCGTCTGGGTTCGATCCCAAGGACGGGGACGACGAGTCCAGTGCCACCGCCATGGCTAGGGTTTTCAGGAACAGGAATAAGCCCAAAAGGCTTCAGCTCGTGGTGAGTCCGAATGGGGCGAACGTGGATTTCGTCGGTACTAATTACAGCGGCGAGGCCGAGGCTGGGCAGCAGCATTGCAATTATGCCCTTGGGGTTCTTGACAAGGAAACCCAGACCTTGAAGATCGTGCCCATTGCTTCTAACAAGGTTATTTTACCTCAAAGTTTGTTTCTTTGTTGCATTTGTTGTGTCTGTAATTTGTTTGGTTTCTGAAACATATTTACGAGTATTGGATTAGGATGAATTGGAATTATTAAACTGTTGTTGAGATTGCGTTTAATGAGGAATTGCTACTTGGTAGTAAAACTTTGATTTTTAATTTAATGTTTGGTTGCTCAGAAAGCGTAGGAAAGGGAAATGTAATAGGAAAATGTTTAATTAAGTGGCCAAAGTGCTCGTATTTGGGCTGATTTGTTATGTTCCTTCTTTGTTTGCCAATAACCATGTAAGTTGAACTCATTGTCGTCACTTATTTTTCCGCGTATACATTTGCATTTCACTAAATTAATCATGAGCATCATACTGTAAAGCTTTGATCTTTCCGTGTTACCATACTTTGATCTCGCGAAGAGATAACTTTAACCCGTTTTGGGATCTCGTTGTCCAGATTTTCAGATTAGAACCAAAAGTTCGAGGTTTGCGTTTGCCTAATAAAGACTCTGGAAGTTTGGCAGAGGGAGAACGCTCTGCTCTATCGAAGTCAGAAAAGATTAAAGGGCTAACCGATCGCTATGGTACAAATAAGTCGATAAGGGAGGTAAGAGTCCACTTTTCTTTGAGGTTGTTAATTTGTACAGGCCAAGTTTTCGTTAGAAATATCAGTGTCATGCTTTGTCGAGCTGAGTAATGTTTGAGTGCTGATTGCATTGTTAGGATAATCAAAACTGAATTTGTATGGAACATTGCAGGCTAAGAAGAGGGACGCCCTTTATCAAAATGATGATCCTGAAACTCAGAAGGATATGGATGAGAAAATCAAACAAATTGTGATAAAGAAAGATGCTCTTGAAAGTACTCAAGTCCACACCGACCGTAATATACCACCGTATAATGCTGCTGCAACTTCTTCTCAGGAGGCTTATCCGATCGAGAAGATCATCCTCAAAGGAGAGTGGGATTTCCTTGAAGATATTTATCGACTTCTGCAAGAGGAAGCAGAATTGAAGTCCGATGATTATCCAAGCTTCATTTCCAACAGAATCCAAAATTTGCGTGAGACTGAGGTAGGTTTCCATGAAAGAGTGCGAATCATTTGCACGAAATAATCTTAAAATGATGGATCGGCTTGCTGCTTGCTCAAATAACTTTTTCCCCCAAAAATCGGTTATCTTATATGTTCTCTTTGTGGCATTCTGGATTAAAAGTCCGTGAATTTTCTAGTTGTTTATCTCTCCCAACTGAACGCTTCAAAAACGAATTCCCTAAAATTTATGTTTGTAATGCATTAGTAGTTCCTTTGTAAGCTTACAATTTTCTTATTGAAGCTGAAAAGCAAGGGAAGAACAATCACGACAATGGAACAATGGCCCTGTTCATTTCACCGATTCGAGTTTAGAATTTGAATTTTGTTATAAAAAGCTCTCAGAAACAGTCACATCAAACTTTTTTACTACAGTAAAAAGCTTTCACATAAAATCACATCCCAACTCGAATTAAAAATTCAAATCAAGGAACTAAACAGGCCTTAAGGCAAAAGGCTGGAATATAAATAAAACCATGATATCCTCCTCCGCTTTAGGGGTTAACTTTATGTTTATTGACCGTGTTCTTCTCAAGTTCAGAATATCTTGTATTTTCTGCTCTCTGACCTCTGTGTGTTTTTATAGGATGAAGAGGAGAAGAAAAGGCGAGCTTGCATATTCTCATACATTACTCATCTTATAAAGTTCAAGGATCTGCATTCGATGGACGGTGTTTCTTCTGCAAAGCGCCATAAGTTTCCGAGCATTCTACGCCAAAAGTTCTCAGCCATGTTTTTGAGCTCGGAGGTGAAAAAGCTGGCATCTAAGGAAAACGATCTTCTGATTAGCTATGTCTTGGTACTCACACTATATGCAGATCGGTTCCAAACAAACTTGACCGACATAGCTAAGGATTTGAGAATGACTTCAGTAACTCTGAGAGTGCACTATGAGCAATTGGGTTGCAAGCTAGTACGCCAGAACAACCTATGGTTCGCAACCCTACCTGTCCCTCTCCAGTTCCCCGATTTGAGGCAGAGGCGGCGAAAGCGGTAGAGAATCATCGATTCATTTTCTTGCAAGTGAGAGCAAATGCGGAAGAATGTGGCGGCTTTCCTATACATTTAAAAAACTAGAGTTTTTGGCAGTGTTCAGTTTCCTTGCGTGATTCCCATCACCTTTTCTTTTACTATTAAACACTATTGTGCTCATCTGAAACAGTTCTGTATAAGGTTGAATTTTGGATTTTGATGGTTATTGTTATAAGCATTTGGGTATTTAATCATATACCATATTCTTCTTTCACAGCCTTGTTTTATCATTTCGTTGGCATTCTTGAAGTTTGTCGCCCACTAATTTAATATAGCACTCGTCTGAGGAATATTAAACTGGTTAGTTCAGTTCAGAAGTTTATAATAAGCTCATTCATCTTAATTGGTATTTCTAATTACTCTAGTTTAAACAGTAATCTTAAAACTCTTGTGTACCAATTCAAATTTCAATTTTTGTGTATCAATTTTAATTTTAATTTTTGTGTACTAACTAATATAGCACATGAATTGTCATCTTTTTATTAATAAATATAATCTCTTTCATTAATTAACATGACAATATTTTACATCTACTAATAAAAAAAAATAATTCATATACCACATCAGTTGACATAAGTTGTAATTTGAGTTATGTCCCTAGCATTATTCAACTAAACAAACTGCAAGACTTTCATTCAGAGTTTCAGCTACTAAAAAATCTTTGGTAAGATATGAGCATTTTTTAGAACTGTCAGATTTTTATAGCTTAAAAAACAAAATAAAAATAAAAAATAAAAAATAAAAAAAAGCCAACAAGAGTCCCTTTCAACTTTACTAGAGCCCTGCATGCCAGATGAATAAATGAACAGAATCTACAGAAACCATTGGAATAATTCTCTCTTTAAACTAAAATCAGCATCAGCAAAATTTACAGGAATTCAACACGACGCATATACTTAAAAAACCACGTCTTATAGTTTCCACATTACAATTTGTTTGTTATATATAGTACACCAGATTTCTATATTCAGAAATCACATTGAGCCCAAGAGAAAAAACGAATGGACATTAGCGATATATAATATATTAATTAGATTCTTTCTTAATCTAGTCAATATAGGGAGATTAAAATGACTTGGACCGTGTGCTTGATGGGATGGACATCTTCTCCATCAGGATTTGCTCTTGAATTTTCTTTGAGCTTTCAAATCCACCACAATCACAGATATGTTATCCTTGCTTCCCTTTTGGAGGGCAAGCATCGACAGATGCTCCGCCGCAGCTTGAGCCGCGAGGTCTGTTCCCAAACCCCTCTCCGCAGAAGCTGTGACTCCGTTCTTCTTGTACCAGAGGAGAATCCGCCGTCGAGCCACTTCGCAGACTTCTTCGTTCGTCATGACGTCCCATAATCCGTCGGTGGCTAAGATAAGGCACTCATCCTCCCTTGTTCGAGGAAGGACCATCACTTCTGGTTCCGGTATAATCCATGGTTTTAAATATCTATCTCCTGTAGTATCAATGGTGAAAAGAAAAATCTCAACTCAACAGACAAGACACAGAAAGAAATCAACTCATTTCCTAGTCATGAACTTGAGAAAAGACATACCTATGGATCTCGACATTGCAAGAACTCCAAAAACACGGTGCCCGTTCCACTGTATGACCTTGCCCCCAGACGCCTCGATCCTTGCATATTCGTCCTCTCTGTTTGGCTGAGAAAATTTAACAAAATGAAGTGAGACAGATTAGTTTCTTCAAAGGGAGGATTTTGTTCGCTTAAGTGAAGACATGACAGACTGTAAAACTGTGTTACTTTATGATCGACTGATAACGGGACAGGTTCTTTGCCACGGCATAGAACTGCTCGTGAATCACCGCAGTTTGCAACTATGATGTGCGATGAGCAGACTAATGCAACCACAGCCGTAGATCCGACCGTTTCCGGGGCTACAGGCTCAAACATAGCATCTGAAGCATCGACGTCGCTTCCATCAGTGCTCCGTCCAGCTTTCCCTCCAATCTCATCATCCACCTTCTGAAAGCAAGAAGTGAAGGTTTTCTCCCACCTCACTTGTCGATTCTCTCCCGGATTTGCATCACTTAAATCGCCTTTAATGAATCCAATCTCCTCAGCCAAAGCCAAGTGGATGCGCTCGCGACAATAGTCAGCGACCTACATGATGGAACATAATCAGTGAAGGGAAAATTCTACAACTAAGATGATTCTAAAAAGAAAAACTGGAATCAAAGGAATCGAACAAACGTGGTAGAAAAAGAAGAAATTTACCAGAGATCCTCCGTGGCCATCATACACACCGAAAAAATGACTGGTTAGGTGTGTCAAATTTTGACTGATTCCATCAATCATACAAGTATCAATAAGCATTTCAATAGGAATTTTCATAAACCTTGGTACAGCAGCAACTGCATCTTCCATTTCTGGTCTTCTTCCACAAATGGATACCGAGCCCCAAAGGGGAATACAGTCCAGCTCGAACACGCTTCGGGTGGCTCCTTTAACAAAAGTATTCTCGCCATGTGACTGGATAACCACCGCCGAGGTGACCAATTCAGACTTGCTGGATATATCCGAAACTGGACTCACCGCTGCCACAATGACTTCGCCAGAAGGCACCTTTCCGTTACTTGATTCCACCAAGATAATAGCCTTGGCAACAATCTGACCATCTTGAACATTTCCAATCTCCACGACATCTGGTAAGCTTAGCTCAGATCCCACCTCCAAAGCTAGCAACTCTTTGTTAATTATTCCATTATTGTCATCAGTAATGGATAAAATTTCATCTTCCCCGCTTACTTGAACAACAACATCGCTGGTAACACGAATATTTCCACTCTCAGGCAACATTGTAAACAAATCAGCACCACCTCCGTTATCTCCTTGTGCTGACATGGTCACCATGCTAACTGCACTCCTTACAGCACTGCAACTTCGGTTGCCACAGGATATAGACTCTGCACACACCACCTTAGCAGGATCCAACGGCAGATTTCCAGCGTCTGTTACCAGCTTGAGCTGCGTGAACTCAACGTGGGTTGCGATTCCAGAGTTGTCACACAACGATTTATCTAAACTAAATGTCACTGCAACTGCCGAAGGCATCTCTTCCATCAAGTCCCTTCTGTATCCACCATCGAGCAGTTACATTTTGACTTTTATACCTAATAACTCTACAATTCTTAGCTCCATCCTTTTCAGCTCCGAACGTGGAAGACTTTTGTCGTCTTGTATCGTCGTGCCAGTGGAAGTAAAAAACACATAAATGAAAGAGAAATTTCAACATCAACATCATAAGACAAAAGAGAGAAGATTCATAAATGTAGACAGGTGAAGACCACCGACCAATTTACTTATAAGATAAGATTACAGGCTTATCATCTTAAAACCTAGAGAAATCTAAAGCAAAACCGAAAGTTAGTAACACAAAAAAGTTAGATGTCATCACTATTGATACTGATACAAGAGAAACAAGCTGACCATGAGTCAATGCCAAAAACTATTTAGTGACATATATAAGAAGTTCAATCCTAATTCCTTTTGAACAAAGCACCACCAAAAGTACGACTTTTTTGCTCTCAAACATATCCAAAATCAGAAACCAAATTATTGGGAATTTGACACATGTTTAAACATATGCCACAGATCCACCAAATCTTTTACAAATTAACCCCTAGTTTCAGATCTGATGGATTAAAAGGAATCTATTCACCTAATTAATTTAAAAACAAAAAACAAAAAAAAATCCAAGCTTTCACGGGAAATTGGATTTCTCTGGATTCCTGAAGTTAATAAATTTCTCGACCTCCTGGAAAACAATCCACCACAGAATACCAAAAATCCTATCCTCAACACCAAACCCTTAAGAAAATTATACACGTGTTAATATGAAAATGACTGCAATCCAATCTTTATCCATTAAACCCAGAAAGATAAAGCAAAAGGGTCATGAGAAAGAACCTAGGAAATAGAAAACCAACCCTATGAATCACAGGAAAGCCCAAAAAGATGAATCCTTTTTTAACATAAAATTTGGGTTTCCTGGATCTGAGGCAAACCATCTCAGCCTCTGGGTCTCCACCTTTTCTTTCTTGTTTCTTGTTTCTTGTTTCTTCTTCTTCTTATATACAATGAACACAACACAAAAAATTATCAATACCCATTAAAAATCATCATTAGAAGAAGCTAAAGTTACCACTTTTGGGGATGCCACTAAAATGATCTCCTTTCTCTCCCCCCTAAAAAGAACTAGCTAGTAAAATAAATAAATTAATTAAAAAAAAAAGCATCTTACCAGAGCAAAGAAAAATATGGGCTTTCTGAGTGAAGAAGCCTCTTCCTCCTAGATTTTTTTTTATTTTCCTCTGTTTTCTGAGGGATTCAATTGGAGGCTTCGGAGGACTTGATTGAGAGAGAGAGAGAGAGAGAGAGAGAGAGAGAGAAGAGAGAGAAACATGAGAGTTTGTTCTTTTTTTTAAAGAAAAAAAAAAGAAAAAGACCAAGCACTCCTTTTTAAGACACGTATACGTGTTATCTTACATCAATAAAGCGTTGTGTGCGACAGAAAATGCTTAGGTTAGGACTGTGCTTACCAAGAGGACAACTACTCCCATGGATTTTTCATGAGACACAGCTTTCGGGAAGACACGTGTCCAAGAACTGAAACTATTGTCTCGATAATGTCTCTTCCACAGTTTTTCTTTCTTTTTCTTTCTTTTTTTTTGTTGGACTGATAATAGAAAATTTTTATGGTGTTTTTTTTAAATTAATATTTTTTATTTATTGGTGGTTGAATTTGTATTACATCGGATTAAAAATTAAATCTGATTAAAAAATAATATAAATTTAACAGTTGATAAATAAAAAATACCAGTATAACACTATAAAAAGTTCTCTAATAATAATACTATCGTTTAGTTCATTAGTTTAAATTTTATTTATTTAAATTTTTAATTTGAGCAAAAATATTCAAATTATGTAATTTAAATTATATTTTAAATTGACGTTTAGGTGTGCAATTAAATTTTTAATTTTGAAGGGGAATAAAATTTTAATTATTTAGTATGTGTGAAAAGCGAAGAGAATAGACATTTTTTATTATTCAAAAATAATTTAAACTGTTGAACTTGATGGAGAAATTAAACTCTAAATTAACTTATTTAATTTAATTTAAACAAAAAATATAATTTAAATTATTTTTTTAAAATATTAATTTAAACTGTATTTACTATTTAAATTGAATTGAATTAAATTAAATTAATAAAATAAACGGGGATAATGTCTCTCAACAGTTTTATGCTTATCGTTATTGCAAGTTCACATCTCTTTTAAAGGTGATGTCTTTTTTTGCCAATGTAATTTCCACTCCAAGTTTTGTCAAAATTTGGCTTGCTTCACCACCGCATGTGGAAAACACATCAAGATACTTTTTTTTTTCTTTGAGAAAAAATGTAAAGAATATTAAATACGATATATATATATTTTTTTTATTTTATTTTTTTGCAATGAGGTACAAAAAAATATGAAATGTCTTATATTCAGCAACCGGATCAGTCAAGAAAATGTAATTTTTTATAGTGGTGTGTAACGTCACTTTTTTGTATGTAACACTCAATTCATTTTAGTGTAACATTAAAAAAAATATATAGCTTAACACATGTAATATTGTATTACAATTAAATACACTAAATGTTACACGCATTTATGAATAATGTTACATAAGAATACAAAAAAGAAATTTACATTGTCGAATCCGTACGGCTGTCAGATTTAAGACTATACCATAAAAAATATCTTGGAATCTTATTTTAAAACATCAATTTTGTATTAAATCTTGTTAATTTTATACTTTTTGGTTTTTTAAAAGAAAAATAAAGTAAAAGGTAAACCCATAAATAAACAAAAAAGTCTCATGAGTTTTTTTGCTTCATATACTCAAACTTAAATTATTGATTATGTTTAAGTATACTTCATAAACAGACTTTTAGAAACAACACATAAATAATTAAAGAAAATATGAGGAAAATAACTTATTTGTGGGAAGATAAAAGTAGATGGCCAAATTTTATTTTTACAGGATAAAAATTAGTACTTGAATTCACATTAAAATTTTCAAGAAAATCCTTAAATAGCATTGCACGTTTCTTCACATCTTTTTTGAGAAGGAAGAATAATCAGATAGATTATAAAAAATGATCTATCAAATTAATTTTTGACGTCCAGGATTCGCTAGCCTTTATTGAGAAGCAAAAATAATGTGGTCATTAATTAAAAAAATAATATACCAAATCGCTCTTCAACAAATGTAATCGGAGACTCTGTTCATCTTTATTGGGAACAAGTAGAGGATAAGATTAAGGATTAACTTGTTTGAGAATATTTGTATCATTTTTATGTATTGAGCACGTTATATTGGAATGTTAATAATGTTACGTACTATTGTTATGAAATTCTTCAATTTCAAGATATATGTAACTTTGTTCTATAGTTTAGTTATATTTTATACATGACTTGTCGATTTCTTGTTTAGAATGAGTTCGTTTAGGATGAGTTCCATTCCAACTTCTTCACCTCAAAAAGGACAAGGTCAAAACAAGCATTATAGGACAATACAACAGGATGACACATTGATAGAGACATTGTTCGAATTGAGTCAAAACGCGATATGACGGGCTGAATGTGGTTTCAAAAATGGGTATTTGCTTCGATTAGAGACTATGATGGAGGCCAAATTACCAGGTTGTGCCATCAAAGCATCTCCTCATATTGAATCTCGTGTGAAATGGTTTAAGCAAAAATATTGTGCAATGACAGATATTTTGTCTCTTAGTGGATTTGGGTGGGACAATGATAAGATGATATTATAATGTGAAAAAAAATGTGTATGATGAGTATGTCAAGGTCGTGTATTGAACTTTTTTCATAGTGGTTGTTACTTGGTTATTATTTAGTGAACTAACTAATGTTATTTAACTTGTTTAACAGAAGCGAAAAGATGCTGTTGGTTTATATGAAAAACCTTTTCCTCATTATTACACTTTGGGTGAAATTTATGGATGCGATCGAGCTATAGGCATTGGTGTTGGAAATGTAGATGATGATGAGGAAGAGGTCCGCCAACAAGATACCATGAATGGAGATTTGGGTGTTGACTCAAATATGAATGCCTTTGAAGAGAATTTCATGAAAAATGATACAATCAGCAACCAAGTGTTCAACAGAGCCAACAATCAGAAAGCTTTCTAAGTGTTTCCACTCGCAAGACAAAGACCAAAGGTAAAAACAAAGATATGATATTTGAGAATATGTGCTCCAACATTGGGTCGATGGCTAAATCTGTGGCAGTAATGGTACCCAAAATAGATGGTCTTATTGATGTGTTTTCCACGGCTGACAAGGATCTAACTGGATTACAAGTCAATTTATATCAAGAAATGATGAAAATTGTTGGCTTAGATGATGCCACTAATATAAGCATGATTTGCTACGTGTATTCTACAACATTCTGGATCAACTCAATAAGGATACATCCTTAAAATTCTTAGTCGTGGGGTTTAAGTGTTAGATTAACCAATTATTAGTTTACTTAAATTATGTTGGTACTTTGAATTATGCTTGGGATATATTTTTCAATTTATGACTTGGAACTTCTTTTTTAAAGTTTATGACTTAAAACTTAGTTATTTTGTTCTTATTTTACTTCATCATTATATTTTTTTCTTAAAATTATTTCAAAATTTATTGAGAAAAAATAATTTAGATGATTTATTTGGTGTGATTAAAAAAATCTAATTACTAATTATTTATTCTAATATTAAGATAGTTAGCATAACATACAATTTCTTTTTTTTTTTTTAAGTTCAACACACAAAAATCTACTAAAAGAGTAGGTAAGTAAATTTATAATAGTTTATTTTGATTATGGGTGTAAGTAAACGCATGAATGAGATTGAGACTGCTTTTGACTCCGATTTCTAGAACCTAAATAAACAGTTTATTTTAATTCTGATTCCTGACTCCAATTCCTGTCCACTCTAATTCAGAGTAAGTAAACATGCCATAGATTATAAACAACCTACTACCTTTATTGAGAATAAAAAATAATATGGTCATTAATTAAAAAAAATGATATACCAGATTGCTCTTCAACAAATAGAATGGAGACTCCGTTCAAGCGACAAAAGCCAGAAACAACCTACCACCTTTGTTGAGAAGGAAAAATAATAAGGTAATCTACCAGATTACTCTCTTGTGACCGCAGCTATAGATGGCCAAACATCTCTTTTAGGAAGGAAAAATAAACTAGTAGTCAGCGGTCATTGGTTATTGAGGCATTTGATCAGTCGTATGTGATAATTTAGTAGATTATTCTTTTAAGTGACCTGGGAAATTCTGATAAAGCATATTTTATTTACTTTTGACCCTTCAATTTGTCCGAAACAAATTCGAAGCTCCAATATCTCAAGTTGAAGGTGAGATTTCTTTGTGGCATTCCTTAAAATTTATCAATTTAATTCGATGCCTACTATGACTCAAAAGTATCATCCAATTAAACCGTTAAGAAATGGCCTTTAAGACCTAATATTGTCAAGTTGATGATATTGCAGTTGCTATAAAACCAACAAAATGATAGGTCTAGCGAAAGAATTGATCGGGTTAGATTAAAGAATACATTATTATGTATTCTAAAATCCCAACTTGAAGAATAATAGGTTTTTTAATAGTCAAATTTGCAATCAACTATAATTAGTAACAAATTCAAGGACACATTATGTAAACTATACGTTTTTCTTTGGCTGAAATAAAAGATCATATTGTGGTTTTGTAGGCAAACGAAATCAGAATAATTCTTGTATTTATGTTTAAATTAAAATAGATACAAAGGGGATTACATCAGAAACTGATCACATACTGAAAACTAACTCTAACAGAACCATAACAATTTTGTAACGGAAAAAGAGTTAGTAACAGCTCTGTAAGGCTTGGCCTCACTAGTCTCAATATGAAGATTGAAGATTACACTGGTTATTATTATTGTTATTTGTTAATGTACTTTTTGAATAACATTTGCCAGCTAAAATTAGTAACACAATTTCAACCACAAAAAGCTATCGATTAATTGAGGCCCCGTTCATTTCGTCAATTCGAGTTTTGTTACAGTAAAAAGCTCTCAGAAACAGTCACATCTAACTTTTTTACTACAGTAAAAAGTTCTCATATAAAATCACATCTCAACTCGAATTAAAAACTCGAATCAGCGAACTAAACGGACTCTTATCTTCTATTATTCTCCCGTGCAATATTTCAGCCCATTCCATTATTCTTCCTTCTCTGCCGAACTCCAGCCGCCGTCCACGTGGGCGGTGACGGCAGTGGCGGCTCAATCGATGGCGCTTTCGAGGTCAACATCAAAGCTCGGTGACGGTAGCACCGTTGTTGCCATTGACAGAGACAAGAACATTAGCCTACCTCTTGTCAAATGGGCAGCGGATAATCTTTTCCGTGTCCACAAGAAATCCCCATGCGTTATCCTTCATGTCCTAAATCACAGTACACATTCCCGTAGGTATCTCTCTCTCAATTCATTGTAATTTATTCATTTTATATAATATATATATATACACACACACACCTATTTTCAGAAGCAATGTCATTAATAGCCGTGTGTAGAATTGATCTCGTTTTTATTTTTTACGTTTTTTAAAAAAGAAAAAATGAAAACGTTTTTAAAATAACGTTTCACGAAAATAATTTTTTAGTTTAGTGTAAAATGATAGAGAAATGAAAAACGATTTTTAGTCATTTTTTATTTTTTATTTTCGTTTTCTCCTTTCTCTAACATAGAGAGATTGAGAGAAATATTAATGGGTATTTTTATACTGAAAACAATCTCTTGATAAAATTAGCAAATACATGTTTAAAAATAATTTATGTCTGAGATTGAAAATGTTTTCATTTTTATTTTCATACAAAAAATAAAATTATTTTAAAATGAGTTTCAAACACGTCATATATATCCTGACTTGGGAGATAGGGTGGACCCTACATTATTTATATCATATTTATTTCGTCCGAATTGTTTAGAAATTTTGTTATAGAAAAAACGTTACGATTTCGATTATTTTACGTACAGATAGTCATTCCACAGTCTCTAAAGGATCTAATCGCTCAACAGAAGAAGAGTTACAGGAAATAATCCTTCCCTGCCTAGGATACTGCGCCCGCAAAGGGGTCAGTGTAATTCCATTTTATGATTTTGATTATTTACCGCATTTAGAAAATGTTATAAGTTCGTGAAGCTATAATCCACATTTGTCATGAATGCATTGTTACGTGATTTTGATTACAAGCATTTCAGATCACAGCAAAGGAAGTTCTACTCCATGACATTGACGTTCCAAGTGCAATTATTGATTACATTATTAAAAACGACATCAGCAATGTTGTCGTTGGTGCTTCCAACCGCAATGCTATTTTGAGGTATTTCTGCGATTCTCTTTCCTTTAACATACACTCGAAAGAAATCCTGTATTTTTTTTTTCTTTTTCTTTACTATCCACTCTTCATGAATTTATGTAATTTTCTCTTTTCACTTCACCACAATTCTTGATTTTTGTCTTCATGCAGAAAATTCAAAGCGGCAGATGTTCCAACTAGCTTGATCAAATCTGCACCAAATTTTTGTTCCGTCTACGTTATATCAAAAGGAAAACCTCAGACTGTTAGAGCAGCAACTCAAGCTCTCAAACCCAAAAATGATGTACCACCTTCTTACAGGTAACATTACCCAAAGAGGGAAAAAAAAGTGATTGTCAGATTATTTTAATGTCTCCAGAGGTATCTATTATGACTCAAAAAACGAGTTCTAAGTGTCCCTCTAATACTAATTTGTCATATCATCAATTTAAGAACTTGATTATATAACAAAAACTAACCAGAAACTAAATACTAAATAATTGAATGCGTTGTCCAAATTCAAACTGACGGACTAGGAAAATGAGACAATAAATTCGAACATCACAAATACATTCGTCGCAATAAGTTGGGAACATTTGTATCTTACATTTGACCATAAACATTTTTTGTTTTGTTTTGCAGAAGTGCACCAAATCTTGGAAGTGCAGAAAGTGGTAGCTCAAGCAAATTATCTGCCACCAATGTGAGCAGCTTCATGTCAATGCCCTCGACAAACCATAGCAGGTCAAGCAGCACAAGTAATTCATCATCTCCGCCAACAAGCTCATCTCTACAAGGGAACCCCCAATCGGATTTCAGCGGCTTCTCGGGGCTAAATAGCTTCCAATCAGCGACCTATAACACCTTAGACTCCTTCACAAGCTTGGAGATTTCAGGAAACACTTTCATCGTACAAACACCTGTAAGTTAAATAGAAATCTCTTTGGTTCAATCAACATTGATCTTGTTCAATATCTCCCTTTGGCTTAGGCACATTTTTATCTTTTTACACAGGAGGATTTGGAAGCCGAGATGAGTACTCTAAATGTTCAATTAAAGCAAACAATGGATATCTATAATTCGGTTTGCAATGAAGCTACAGAAGCCAAAGAGAGGGTAATTTGCTCTTCAAAGATGGTTAACATGTATATTGCTTTGTGACAATTAAAAAACTTGTACTTTTTCATGCAGGTCAATGAGCTGCATTTGAAACCAGCAAAAGAACGCAGCCTAGAGGAAGCCACGGCTGCAGAAGAGGCTGCAACGGCTTTTGCGGAGTTGGAGAAGCAGAAGACGAAGCTGGCCACAGAGGCAGCGCACATTGCGGAAAGGATAGCGGAGATAGAGACACAGAAGAGAAAATTTGCTGAGATGAGAGCCGGCGGCCAGGAGGCAGAACAGATAGGTGCAGTTCGTGGCGGTGTAAAGTACAGGAGATATACCATTCAGGAGATTCAATCCGCGACGGATTACTTCAACAACAAGCAAAAGATTGGTGAAGGTGGGTATGGACCTGTGTACAAAGGCTTCCTTGATCACACCCCTGTTGCTATCAAGATCCTGAGGCCAGACATATCACAAGGGTTGGTCCAGTTCCAACAAGAGGTAAACTGTGCTTTTCTAATTAGACTAAATGCTTCAGCTTAACCTCTATATACAAATGAAAAGTGCTTCAAAAGTTTGAATTATCTAGAACAAATAGCTACTTGTTCATTATATTCTAATTTGCTCATCTTACAAAGAAACTAGATGACTTAAATTATACCATAAGGCTATTGTTTACTTCACATAAAATATGAAGAAGGTCAATCCGAATTAGTAATGGTAGTTTGGTGGGCCCACACGATATGCAAAATCAGGGAAACGAATACTGATTCTAACACTCCTTGCTATTGATTCTCATTAACGGGAACGAATACTAATTATACTTAAATACCATTCCAATAAGTTCACATGTTCCTAAATTCAGTAAACAATCAATGACAGGTGTTTCAGTCCTTTACTTTTTTTTTTTTTCTTCTTTTTACCCGTTACCTCCAATTGTTGGATAAACACGCTTAGGAATGAAAGAGGCTCTAACATGCGAAGTAAGAAACACTAATCTAACTGCTCTATTCTTTTTTTATAGGTTGAGGTTCTGAGCTGCATAAGACATCCAAACATGGTTCTCCTAGTAGGCGCCTGTCCGGAATACGGCTGCCTCGTCTACGAATACATGGACAACGGCAGCTTGGAAGACAGGCTCTTCTGCAAGGACAACACTTCCCCTCTTTCTTGGAGAACACGCTTCAAAATCGCCGCCGAGATCGCCACCAGCCTCCTCTTCCTCCACGAGCGAAAACCCGAGCCACTCGTCCACCGCGACCTCAAGCCCGCGAACATCCTCCTCGACCGGAACTTCGTCAGCAAGATAAGCGACGTCGGGCTCGCGAGGCTCGTCCCGGCGTCGGCAGCCAACTCCGTGACGCAGTACCACATGACGGCTGCAGCCGGGACGTTCTGCTACATCGACCCGGAGTATCAGCAGACGGGACTGTTGGGCGTGAAGTCGGACGTCTATTCGCTGGGAGTGATGCTGTTACAGATCATCACGTCGAAGCCTCCGATCGGACTGTCGTACCAGGTCGAGGAGGCCATTGAGCAAGGCACTTTTGCTGAGATTCTTGACCCCACGGTGTTGGACTGGCCGGTTGAGGAGGCTTTGTGTTTCGCAAAGTTGGCTCTGCAGTGCTGTGAGATGAGGAAGAGGGACAGGCCCGACCTTGGATCGGTCGTGTTGCCGGAGCTGAACCGGTTGACGAATCTGGGAATGGTGGAAGATTATGGGAAGTAATTCAGCCGCTCCGGGATGGTTCTTGAGAGAGCCAAAGGGCAGGTCTTTTGTAATTACTGGTTTGTGCGGAACTTTGCTGAACAGTGTAAAGAATTAAGATTAATATAATTTGGTGTGGACATTGGACGCTATATTTGTTTGTCATTTTTTCTTTTCACTTTCACCTGTAAGAGTTCTCTACTCGTATCAGTTTATAACCATTGAATTTAGTCAAAATTACAAGAAACGTGCAAAACACACAGTTTGTAACGAGAGAATTTAACGGTTGAAAACAAAATACTTCCCTTAGTAATTCATTCTCCCTTTTTCTCTTGGTTCTTACATAGCGTTTTTCTCGAAAGACAGAAAAAGGACCAAAAGAACGTTACGTACGGCTTTTGTTTGTCTGTCTGTTTGTTGATGTTCTTGTTGAATCATAAAGGACGTTCATAATCTTTTGTGAGAGACAATGTCGTTTTCGTCGCTTATAAAAAAAATATCGTTTTCCGGTGCACAGTGCAAAGGTTTTCCGTACGAGTGTATGGTGTAATTTTTTTTTACCCTTCTTTTCCTTATTATTATCTGATTTCGTCCATGCATTTCAAACAACGACAGCTGTTTTGTAGACAGTCCTTCAACGACAGCATCTCCAATAACGGACAATATTTCCTATAAACGACCCCAATCCAAACAACAAACGTAGTAAACGACAATGGATAATATAAACGACAACAATTTTGAATGTGACATCGTATTTCACAAACGACAATAATTAAAATTTGACAATATCATAAAACAGACGACCATAATTTGGAAACGAAATCATCTAGTATAAACGACAACAGATCAGAAACTACGTCAGTTCATCTCTCGTTTTAATGATAATAAAGTTGAGAAAAGACAACGTCCCTAAGAGAAGACAAAAACATGAAAAAAAAGGAAAATAGTAGAAAATAGGCCAATATAAAAAACTTAAGAAAGTATATAAGCCAAAAATAGTAGAAAATATGTCAATATAAAAAATTTAAGAAAGTATATAGGCAAATTTTTAGTTATAGAAATTAATAGGCCATAACTTATCAAGTTATGGTTCATAATCAGATAAGTTATGGACAAATTATGATTCATAGTCAGACAAGTTATGGATAATTATGGACAATAACTTGTCAAGTTATGGTTCATAGTCAGACAAGTTATGGATAATTATAGACAATAACTTGTCAAGTTATAGTTTATAACCAGACAAGTTATGGACGAAAACAGTAATTTAACCTATTTATTAACTTATATAAATTATTGGCCTATTAATTTTAATTCATTTCAAGTCTTGACATATTTTCCTCATTCTCTCAAAAAAAAAAAAAAAAAAAAAAAAAAGACGACAGTACTTTCCAATATGGAACGTTTAAAGACGGGCAATAATGTTGAATATCACAATGAGCAAAAATGAACGACGATATATCAAAAAAGACGTATCCTCGAAAACCACATAAATCATAATAACTTAAAAACCGACATCTCTTACAAATCACAATATCACTATAAACGACAAAAACTTCAAACGGCAACGTTAACAAGCACAATAATTTTGAATGTGCCAATGAACGACATCTATGCTCTAAACGACAGTATCTCTTACAAACGACACCGGCGTTACGTTGTTACCTGTTGGAGTAGCTATTTCACTCCCTAAAATGAGTAAAAATTGTCTTACGAAGCTACCAGACAAGAAATTTCAGAATCTTCTCTACTTTATATACGTATGTATATATTGGTCAATAACTCTATTGAACATGTTACGGTTCCACAAGCTTGCCCTGCAAAGGAGAAAAAGAGAACAAATAAATAAGTCATAGATGCACTTTTGAATATGCATATGAGCATATCATGATCTTAAACAAGTTTGCTTGCAAACCTGGTTCACAAATGGGTCAATAGGTCATGCATTGATCTGTAGCCAACAGTTAGCTTGAGCTGCTTTTCTACTGTTGGAAATCAAATTCTTTTAAATACGGCGCGTATCCAACGCCTAACAATAGAATCCATAATCAAGAACAAACCAATGAAAAAAAAAGAAAGAAGAAAAGGGAAGGCAAAATGTGACAGAGAGAGAGAGTTTAAAGTGAGAAAAAGGAGGTCAAATTCATTCCTACAGGAAAAAAAAGAAAAATATGGGTATGTGTTACATCCAGAATTTGGACTTCAAAGTTTTGTATTGCTTCTTGAGATAAAGGCTTGCATATGCCAGCCTGCTTCGTCTAGGTTTGGCCTTCTCTGTAATAGCTCATCAAGATTCAAGAGCATTGGAATGTATTTGGAAAACTTCAAAAGAATCATTTAAGTATCATCATGAAGCAGGTTAACAAACGGACAATACCGATCCATCATGATATTCCGAGAACGATTGTAAACCTCTCTGCAGTATGTGTTCAAATCCACCGTGTTGAAGCCCGCATTTAAGAACAAGGTTGACAAAAAATCTTCAGAGAAGTAGAATGAACACTGGTGCAGCATATATGAATTCCATCAGAAGCCAAGCTATATGAACGATATGGTCCATTATAATCAAAATATACTCAGATTGTGCGGTATACTTACAGTACCATCACCTCGGACATAGAAGTCCTCACCGATCATCTGATCTTTGTTCTGTAACTTCACCTAGGAAGTTGAAAATGATTTAACATGGAATTAGGTTCTGAACTGTAAGTTGTTATTTCAATTATTCAGTAAAGCAAGACACATAAGAAATGGACAAAATGAACCCCCCCACAAAATAAAACTTTTTTCTCTACCCTTCCCCTCATGTTTCTTTTCCTTTTTGCAATGAAAAAGGACACATCTTTTTGTTTTTCGACGGAATATTCTACAACTGCTTTCTCACTGTCTTACATAGTTTAATCATGCATCAAATGGTGAATTGTAGTATGCATAGAACACTCACTTGAGCAAAATCCCCAACAGCATAATCTCGTAAAAGAACATAACCATTTGGCTGCAAGCAGATAAAAAGCCATATAGAATTCAACTTTGATGTATAAATTTAGAAGTAAAATAGAAAGACGAACTTTCCAAATTTCAAACCAATATCGAATAAAAGATTTACCTTAATCACTTTTTTAAAGTTCTGCAAAATTAGGGGCATTTTCCTAGGAGATACAGCAGACAGCATAAAAACCTACTGAAAAACGTGAGGTACTTCATATAGGCAGTGTTTACTCTCCCCCTCTAACAACCATAAAAATGACTTGATTTTTAGCTTAATCTTACCAATGTAACAACATCAACAGAAAATGGATCAATGTTGTCACAGAGATCTTCATGTGTAACATCAGAGACAAATGCATTTACCCTGTCTTCTCTAAAATTCACATTTGCCTGCACTCATTAAAATAAAGACAGAAATCAATGATATGAAAAGTAACATTACAACTATAAAATAGAACGCTTTCATATCATGTGCATGAAAAAAGTTAAGAACCTTAAGAAGCAAAATTGCTTGTGGCGAGAAATCACAAGCATGAACATAAATATTTGGGAATGCAGCCAAAAGGGGAAAGACAGAACTGCCAGAGCCACACCCAATCTGCCATTTCAGAAAATATCAAAACCAGAATCATAATAACCCAGCAAAAAAAAAAAAAATGAAGAGACAAAATATTTACCTCCAAAACTACCTTACCATTAGAGGACAAGTCATCTTCGGCAAAGAAACACCCCCAATCCTTCTCCAAATAATGCCTATCCTTGAAGAACTGAAAAATCTCACAAAAATAAGCACAACCCACATGAGTAAAACCCAAGTTACGTATATATATATATATATATACATATATTATATTTAAGAGTGTGAGAGTAAGAAAAAGACTTTGTCTTGGTGGCATTTGTAAAACTTGTCCCAGTATTTGGTGGCGTTCTTTTGGTAGTGCTGTTCAGTAGAGACCTTCTTATGGTCCGGAGCTTGTAAGGCCGTCGGATGGGAGCGGCGGCGGGATCGACGGACGGCGGTGATTGGTGCGGTGGGTTTGGGGAGGAGATGAGAATAAGAGGGGTGGAAGTGGGATGGTCGTAGATTTTGTGGCTCTCATTTCGCTACCTTTCAATGTGTGGCGGTTCGTGGTTCAACGGACCCAAACTTAAGGCCGTTTAGTTCGCCGATTTAAATTTTTAATTCGAGTTAAGATGTGATGTTATGTGAGAGTTTTTCACTGTAATAAAAAAAATTAAATGTGACTGTTTCTGAGAACTTTTTACTGTAGCAAAACTCGAATCGGCGTGAACGGAACCTAAATCTCTTTCTTCTTTTCTCTTTTTTCTTTCTTTTTTTTTTTTTTTTTTTTTGGGGGGGGGTTTTTTTTTTTTTTTTTTTTTTTTTTTTTTTTTTTTTTATTGGTTCTTAAAAATACAAAAAAAGATAAATTAAAACATGTTTTTTAGATTTAGAGAATATTAAGACGCGTTTAGAACTCGTTCTAAAATGATTTTATTTTTTGTATAAAAATAAAAATACAAACGTTTTCAATCTCAGACAGAAATTATTTTTAAAAATGCGATTAGTAATTTTATCAAGAGATTGTTTTATATATAAAAAATCTATTAATATCTTTCTCTGCTCGAGAAATGAGAAAATGAAAACAAAAAATGAAAAACGACTAAAAATCATTTTTCATTTCTCTCTCATTTTACACTAAACCAAAAAATCGTTTTCATTTCTATTTTTTGTTTTTATTGCGCCAAACGCTGTTTTGAAAATGTTTTCATTTTTTTTTTCTTGAAAAATGTGAAAAATAAAAACGGGATCAATTTCAAACACGTCATTAGTTTCTGAGAACATACAGGTGAAATTAAAAAGAAAATTAAGTGGTATATTTATGAGTGCCCTTAAGGGTGTGTTTGGTTGGTGGAAAAGAAAGGAAAATAATGGAGTGTACTTCAATTATGATGTTTGGTTAGATTTATAAAAAAAAGAAATGGTCATTCAAAAGGAATGGTCATTCACCCATTTTAGGTGATTTATCTTTCATTCCTCACATGAGAGGAATAGTCATTCCAAGCTTTTTTTTTTTTTTTTCTATAAGTACCCTTGAATATTGTTAATACCCAATTTTGTACCAGACTTATTTAAGGGTTCAGGCCTAACCATGGAGTCATGTGACGTTATTGGACTCGCTTCGTGGACTCAAGGCACACTTAAGGAACTCCCGTGGGTTGTGATTTGGTGGGCCATGTGTGATCAAGTAGGCTCGTTTGTTGTTTAGTTCAATCCAATTTGAATCTCGCTTGGGGAGTTTTCATAATTAATCAAATTAAATGCAAATGCGTGATGGAGAATTCCCAAAAAGCCTTCATCCAGTCCTTTTGGAAGCCCAAAATCCCTAACTCGAGGCCTTGGAACCTCTTCCTCTTCATTAAGGTTGATTCTTAGTGTTTTGACTCCAACGAAGGTTCTTCCCGCACTAGACATGCCTAATGGAGGCACCTTCCGTAGCAGGCATGTCTCCCAGAGCGTCCTTTTCATATCCAAGTATATCTAACAGAGCCTTTTCCGTGTTATGCATCATTCCTTTGGATTTCTTCTCATCCAACTCATCATCGGAGCACTCTTCGCCTGGAGCATGCTCACCCTTCGGAGTAGCTTCGCCAGGAGCATCATTCGTCTGGAGCATGCTCACCGTCAGAGTGACTTCCAAGTCATAGCCAACTTGACGGCTGCTTAGCCTACATCGTATAAACCATCTCTGACAAAGTCTGAAATGCGATCATACCTCTGAAAAGGGAAGTCCACGGAGCACAAAGTTGAGTCAAACATTCTTGAGAATTTCAGACCTTGAAACTTTTCACGTCAACTCTAAATCCGGAACTTTTCCTCCAAGTCTTTCCGTTTTTGGGTCTTTTCATTGTTAATCCGGAAAGTCACCTGATCACCTTGCTCTAAAGGGAATTGTGTATGCAGGTCTCCGTCAGAGCGCCGCTGATTGGGCTTCGGAGCTATCATAATGAACATGTATTTCTATTTTCAGACCAGCTCTTTTTCAACCCCGAAAAGGCTTCTGATGACTTTACTCCATTTGGATTGCGTATGCATGCTTCCTTCAGAGCGCCGTCGATTCACCCCCAGCAAGTTCCCATTCATTCCATTTTTGGCTAGTCTCCTCTTCAACTCTGGAAAGGTATCAGAAGGCTTAGATCCATTAGGATTATTTGTGCAGGTGTCCGTCAGAGCACGTCGTATGAACCTCCAGAGCTACCGCCAAAATCCTACCAAATTCACTTATAAATACTCCTCATCTCCTTCATTTCAAGGGGGTGAATCCACCATCAGCACCAGCCACTACTTTCATCCTCAGATTATCTTTTTCCTTCAGACTTCTCTAGTCTTTTGTTATAGAGACTTGAGGTTCTTCAAGCTCTTCAGAGTCCTGCAAAGCCTTTAAGTGTTGACAGCCTTGGAAACCTTTTCCAAAACACTTTTCGATCCATTTCCACCACCGTCTTAAAACACATATTTTTCGGCAACATTCAAGTCTTCATTTTCAGGGTCACTTCTGCTCACTGTAGGAGCAAGTGCTCCAAGCGCCATTTTCACCCTCAGAGTAACACGCATTGTTCTTAGAGTTCTTTTCACCAAAGCTTTATCTACCTCGCCAACTTCACTCTCACTCTCTTTTAAGCCTTATCTACCACTTGAGTCACTATCTTTGCTCCTGGAGCAGCTCGGCTTGTCTCCACGCTTGTCTCATTTTCTCCATCTCCATCAACTACTTGATCGCACCTCCCACCATTTTTCATCTCTAGAGTTCTTTTATTTGTTTTTGCGGATTCTCTAACGTATTTTGCAGGGCATTTTCGTCATTTCGGCAACAAAGAAGGTCATAGGACACGCATCATTTGGCCTAACCGACCTCACTTTTTCATCAGAGGTCCTGCCATCATCGTCCACTTCAAAGCTCGGTGTCTGATTCACTTTTGACAAACCGTGTGCTTACGCGTGTCAATCCCAGATACGTCGACCCTCTGAATCTACCGGATCCTAATAAATATTATAATATAATTACAAATAGTAGTTATATCTTATAATATGTAGTATAATATAATATATAATAAAAATCTTATGATATAATATAATATAATTTATAATAGTTATAAATTATAATATATTCATTTAATATTCTATGATAATATATTATGTATTATAATGTAATTATATGTTACAATATAATATATAATAATATTATAATATAATATATATAATATAATAAATAATATTATATAATATAATATATTTGTAATATT